CTTCAAAGAGCTTAGACAGATTGAGTACGTACCCTCATCTTATTCTTTCTCCTATTATATTTCTTATGAGATAAGTTTCAAACTACCTGCATAATTATGCCCTCTGAGGGTATATAAAATAAAAAACTTAAAAGAGAAACTAGGACATGAGAATATAATGCGCTGGCTGGTGGGTGGTAGTTTCAAAGCTTCATTCTTTTAGGGCAATGAGGATTAATTTAACAAATGAAAGAAGAGTACATGTCACTATAAAGATACTAGGAAAATATAGTGTCAACCAACCCCTCTGGTAAGCTGTAGAAAAGAGTGAGTAACCATGTATTTAACCTATATACACTTTTGCCAATGTGCAGGGTGTTTGGAACTTGGCCAGTGGCCTTACTGTCAGCAAACAAGAGGAAAGTTGTAATAGAAGGACCAGTATGCGATTCCTCTCAAGTGATAGGATGGCATCTGAGGAAGATGAACAACCACACAGATGCCGAAACAGATGCAGAGCCCAAACCTCCTATTCATATATCAAGTTTTGCATTTAACAGTTCAATCCTTTGGGACCCTGAGAGATGGGGTCGCCCCACATCTGTTCAAGGCACTTCACAGGTAAGCAAATATTCTCTACGCCAAGCATTAGATAGTTAAAAAATGGTTTTCTTTTTCTGTTCTTCCTGCATTTCGTCACAAAAATGAAGCTCCCATTTTAAGATTCTGTACTATGAAGAATCAAATGTGCAATGAAAGAATGCATAGTTATCCATAATGGATTTAGCCTAGTAAAAACTGGTTGACATGAGACTAGGCCTAAACTCAAATATTCGGGATTTTTCACTCGCTGTCTATCAGTTTGGTAATAAATGGTCTTTAAGCCATACTGATTGATGCAACTAACCAAAATTTATACTATCTTACAATAAAAAAAAGGATATGGATTGAATATGAAGCTAATAATCATGATTCCATGAATGAAGCTGGGTCCCATTTAAATTAGGTTCCAAGAATTTTAACCAGGAAAATAAATGGTTCAGTAGGGGTTCGACCAACTTCCATTTCTTTATAAAAAAAACAGCAGCATACTGGATGCCTTGATAGATATTAGGTAAAGGGTTAATTTATAGCATGTTGCTGTTGCTTTGATCAGTTCCCCCACTCGAAAAACTGAAGTAAAAGCATAACAAAATAATGGGCACTTTGAAGTTTTTACATTATTCAAAAGTTGAGCTAGAAAGGGAAAAGGTCAGCCTTTCTCTTGTGGGTTCTGACATCTTCGAGTGCTGCACATATGATTTAAAAAATATTAGTTTATAATTAGCTTTGCAAGCAATAGCAACAGCATGGATGACTTAAGACTTGGTGTCTGCATCTGCCATAACTTTTATTGAGAAGGCTTTTGTTTTATCTCATGTTTGCTTTCCAGAATTCACTCAAATTTGTGAAACAAGTTGTTCTAGAAGATGAGACCAAGTTAAAGGGTATCCCACCAGAAGAGTGCTCCAAAATCATGCTTTGGCGTCTTCGTTTTCCCATTGGAGTAGTGCCTAGAGGCCTTGTCAAAACAGCCTCATTGCTGGACGTTACTGTTACTCAAAGATAAAGGAGGAAAACATATGATGCAGAGAGATTTCATTTGGAGGACAAAAATATATGATAATGAAGAGCATAATCTCAATTTTTTTTCCCATTTATCATGTAATTTTTTTAATTGTTACACATTTTACAAATTTTTTTGTTCCTCTTCACAGTCTCAACATGATAGGGGACACCATCTTTTTCTCGCCAGTTGCAACTTCAAATCCAAAAAAGCATCCCCCAAGTGTCTGCCTCACTTCTATAATAAACAGCAAATAATCCTTGCCAAGGAACAAATACTACCAAAAGTTGAAGACTCCCAGTCCCACCTGATGATTATAGGATGGAAGATCTTGAAATGAAAATTCTATTGATTTAAAGTAAAGACAAACCTACCAGCGTTGGTAAGTGGTTATACCAAACCATTTGATTTGAAAGTAATCAAAGAACATTTTGGAGAAATTATTATCATTTTGCTTCATCTCTCTTGGCTAGGAGAAATAGTTCTCAAAACTGTCCACAATTTCTTTTCTTTTCTTTGTTTTTCCTTTCTTCCAATGCCTGCATCCTTTTGTCTTTGCAAAAGTTTTCCAAGTATTGGTTGAATAAAAAAACCTGTCAGGACCGCCATGGGATGATCAATTATGGGCCATAGGGAGCAATGAAATGTCAACTGTCTTTCATTAGCTGCAGCCTGATGCATTTTCCCACACCTTTCAGCAGGTGGCCTCTCTGTGTCTGGGCTGATTTCTGGACCATTCAGCAATCACCGATCACCGTCCTCTGTCTGTAACATATATATCTGAATGAATTGGACAACTTGGAAGTACAGACTGCTTTAGGAAACAAACTTATCAGTCAATTTCTAGCAAATTAGAACCCATGGCTATACAGGTCACTCTCTTCCCATTAACATATATATGGGAAAACATCATTTGCATGTATAAAATTAGAAAAAGCTAGCATGCATATGATTCCTATCAAAGCATCTCAACAAATAAGTTTTGAAAAGAATCATCAAGCATGGCTATAAGATAAAAAAGTTTTTATCTATTGTTATATAATTCGAAGAATAATGAACTTCTTCTGGTACTAAAAAATATGAATTACACATATTTTTACCTATTTCGTGCCTAAAACAAGGGTTTTTAATTTTCCAATGTTAAAAAACATAGGTTATAAATTTATGATATCCTTTGTAAAGCATGAACGTCCATATATGTGATGATGCATAAATATTTTTGAGAAAAAAATGACCAAGTTATTGGATCAACTCTATTAGAGGGTATTACTTCTCAAAAAAAAAAATTCTATAAGAGGGTACTAAGCTTAATACGAGTGCATATCATATCTAATTTCGACTTATAGATAGATTTTTCCTATTTATTTTAAGAAATTAAATTAAATTAAGAGTTAATTTACTAATTAATTACTTTTTATTAAAAAATAGAAATTCAAATTCAATTCTTTAAATAAGAAAAGATATGCTAATTAGTAAGTCAAACGTGTGAATAGGACTTCTTATCATTTTACTAATACTGAAGTGAACTAGTATTATTTTTTTTTACATTAATTTTGACCGAATAATTTTATAAAATATGATATTATTTATTTTAATTTATCAAAACTCCTAATAAACCCACAAAATAAAATTAAAAAAAAAAAACAAAGCTGTTAATACCATTACCTGCTTGCAACTTTGTTGTCGGTTCCATTATTCACCCTGTCAAAGAACCTAGCTTTTTCTTCTTCTTTTTTTTTTTTAATTTTTGGACTAAATACCTAATTACTAAAAAATCAACATCAAAGGAAGAAATGTTGCAATGTGTATCCACGTTTTATATTAGTAGGCTCCTTGACGTGACAAGCTGTAGGGTTGTTAGTAACAAAGTTGGTCCTACAATTTAATACTACTTCTTATCTTAAACAAAATACTCAATTATAAACGATTTCAGTCTATAAATTAGGATATAATCACTGCCTTTTAGAGTTGGATTATGCCTTAGAAGTGAAAAGGAAGAACCAATTATTTATCGACTAGTTTTATAATTTTCTTGTGTTAGCCAATGTTAAAGTTAATAACCCGCCCCTTGATTTGATTAGGTAGTAGTATAATCATCGGTTCCAACAACTACACATTCAGTTAAAATAATGAAAATCAAGAAACTGAAAATTCACAAAATCAAATGACTATTTAAAAATCAAGGTAAAATTTGATTATTTAATTTTTCTATCAAATTTAAAAATCTTACTGATAATATTTAAGATAGTTATTCACAAGGAAAATCATAAATGACTATTCTATTCATTTTTTTTATAATAGTTTAAAAACTTCATCAAATAATATTTAACGTAATAGTACACAAGATAAATCTAATCTATTCACCATTTTCCCACTTCCTTTTTTGCCTAAATTACTTATGGAAATTAAAATATGATAATTAGTCTATCAAATTGTACTATCAAACTATACATGTGAAAAACTGGCTAGATGTTATTCAGTACTGCAGCACATGAGTCCAAGAATTATAGTATAATATATAGCTTGGAACAAAATTAATTAAAGGGGTTGAAATAATTTTAATTTCATAATGTGGCATGTAAATAGTAGCAGTAGTACATCATTCATGTTTCTGTTCTTAAAGAGTGTCAAAACCTTTCTTTTATTTGCCTAGAAAAAGTTAAAACTTGTGGCGGTGTCTACCGACAACTTGCCACATAGCCTTTGCCCTGCCGTCTCCATTATACTATTCTTTTCATTTAACATGTTGCAAATTGCATCACTACTTTAACCTACAAAGTAAAAAAAATATTTGCATGCTGTTATTTAATCTATGTATTTAGGATAAAATTTCTTTAAAAAACTTACACTTACGTTTAGTATTTTATAAAGAAATTAAATGGACCCTACATGGCAAAGAGCATCAAAATGAAAATGAGCATGGAATAAATCGGTTAAGTGTAAGACAAGGAAGACATATCTTTGATATATTCTCGATGACATTTTGCAATAATATACCCTCAAAAAAGAAGTTGCAGTTAGCCTTAGCTTAACTTGTTTACGCATACCCATGCTACGTTTTTGTTTTGGGAAGTAGTACTAAGTAAAGTAACCCAAAAAGAAGAAGCAGGTTTTAGTTACCATCAGACATGTTGGAAGTTTTACAGTTCGAGTTTCAGTTTTAACTGCTCTACTAGTGAACTGAAGTGCCATTGAAATTTGAAGAGGACAGAACAAGAGGGTGCTTTTTTAACTGTGTTAGTTACCAACACTTGGGAAAGGAAAAACGTTGGTGGGATAGGTTTTTTCAACCAATCAGACAAGGAGGAGGCGATCTGTTAAATTAGGTGGGACCCAAGTTTGCCCAACCCAAGAAGTGGGGTCACACTTAGCAAAAAACCAGCTGTTTTTCTTCTTTCATTATCCCTCTAAAATCTTCATTGTCAAGATCTGTTCTTCCTCTTTATATCACAAGGAGGCAGGCCACAGGAGGTGTGACCCTTTCAAATTTTTCTGATCTTTTTGTTTGTCTTGAGAACAGAAAAGAAAGGAAGAGGACCCTTGAAGCTCTTTGAGATCTGGGCATTACAATCTCAGGTACTTTTGCTACTTTTTGTTCCATGGACCCCAATTTAAAGATGCATTCTTCAGCTTCTTTTTGTTTGAAAGTTTTGTAGCTTGGTATTGCTAATTGTCCTTCAAAATCTGGGTAGTTTAAATACATTTGAAAACTTTTGGGTTTTGCCTGGTTGAGGAGAAAATCTAGGAAATGAAGAAAATTTGAAATTTTTATAGCTAAAGTTGTTATTGTACAGTTCCCTTCCCTGGGGTTAAAAGCCATTTACTTTAACTTGCTTAGTCATCTTTGAATTGAAAATGAAGAAGGTAAAAACTTGTTTAGATTGTGGTAACAGATATGCATGATAGATCATGGGATTTTTTGCTTAAATCTCCCATTTTTCTTCCTAATTTGCACTATTAATATTTAATGCCCTTATGATTTTCCCTGTCTGTCTTTTGGTATATCTGTTATTACCATTTATTAGCTATCTGCTTCTTTGAATATTTGTTTGAGATCGTCATTTCTAAAATCCTTCTATTTTACACTGCGAAATCATATCTCATTTCTAGTCTATTCCAAATGCATTTTGAAAAGGGCTGTTTTTTTTTTTTTTTTGCCCCTTAAAGGTTTATACTGAGGAATGATAAGAAGATGGGGAGGAAAGGAAAATGGCTGTCTTCTCTAAAGAAAGCCTTTAGCCCAGAGTCCAAGGCAAAGAAAAACCAGGTTTGGAGAGGTCCCATTCAGCTGAAAATTGCTTGTAGTTTATTGTTATCAATGAGTTTCTAATATTCTTGATTGCTACATATTTCAGGAATCGAAAGCACAGTTTTCAGAGAAGCGGGTGCATTTGGGTCCCAGTGGTTCTGATGCAGCCACTTTAGAAGCTGTCAAGTTGTCCCCTCCTCCTCAGCCGGAGGAGGTGAAATTAACGGAAGCTGAGGCTGAACAGAGCATGCAGACTTACGCTGTGGCAGTTGCCACTGCTGCTGATGATGCTGCTGCTCCTGCTGTTCCAGCTCAGGCTTCTGTAGAGGTTGTTCGACGGCAACTTAATACAGGTGCCAGGTTTTCTGGCAAATCTGAGGAGGAAGTGGCAGCAATCAAAATACAAACAGCTTTCCGAGGTTACCTGGTATGTGCTGCAATTTTAATAGTTACTTTTTCCTTCTGAGGCTGTTTGCTTGATCATTTCTTATTAGAAATTCTATCGGATATAATTATCATTATCAATCAATTCCAGCTAATTTTTACTTAATCCTACTCATCCCGCAGCAAACATTCTTAAATTCTCAGCCACAACTGAAGTTTATGTAGTGACTTTGCTGCTCATGATTTCTTCTTTTCAGGCAAAAAGGGCATTGCATGCTTTAAGAGGACTGGTCAGGCTGAAATCATTGATGGAAGGTCCTGTGGTCAAACGGCAAGCAGCCAGTACACTTCGCTGCATGCAAACTCTTTCGCGTGTGCAGTGTCAGATTCGTACTAGGAGAATCAGGATGACAGAAGAAAATCAGGCTCTTCAGAGGCAACTCTTGCAGGAACATGCAAAAGATCTTGTGAACTTGCAGGTAAATTCCCTTTCTCTCTGAGTTGGACTGCTACGGAGTGGGTTCAATTCTTTCTACAAGCTGTGGTTTTTCCTATCTATAACTAGAATCATCTTTATATTGCAAACAAATAGGATAATTGATTTAGCTATTATATACAGCATACAAGGGGATTTTAGAGTAATTTCTGTCACAGCAGTCAAGCTCAGTTCCCTAAATGACTACGTATATATCTTCATCTTGATTAGAAAAGTGCCCTCCATCATTGGAAAACCATTCTATCATGTTGGTTTTCCATAAAGGATCCCTCCTGCTGACTATAGGTTCTGAATGTTTAAACAGATGGGTGAAGAGTGGGATGACAGCCTGCAGTCTAAGGAACAACTTGAGGCAAGCTTACTGAGCAAGCATGAGGCAGCTATGAGAAGAGAAAGGGCCATGGCGTATTCATTTACTCATCAGGTAACCTGATCCTCTAATTTTATATATGCTGTTGGAATTCATGAAGAGCATCAGATATTTAATCTTTCCTCTGTGTGTTTATATGTACAAGTGAGAGATTTAATAACATGGTCAAGTGACATGAATGAATGAAGCATAACTAACTTACTTAAAAAAAGTTATCCTCCATAGCTTTGACGAGGCGGGAAGTAGCAGTTGATAAGATTAGATTGAGTTTAGCATTTCGTTAAATGATCATACTGCAAAATAGTTTAGCATAAATTAGTTCCTCATCTGTCAGGTCAACTTATGTAGACATTAGCTGAGAGTAAATCTAAAATACTAACCAGTTGATAACGACTATATTGAAATACAATGATTTCCATCATTCAATATTTGATCTCATCAGAGGGAACTGGGGAAGAAGTTCAAACATTCCGTTTTCAAGTCTGAGAGAGAGTTTCGTCCTTCTAAGCTATATATGCTGGATCACTTAACAAATGTTTAACCGTATCCCATCGTTTTACCTAGCTCATCCTAATGCTTAATAAACATGAGTCTTATTAAAGGTGGGAGTACCATCAGGCAAGAAGTTCTTTGGCATTCAAATACCTGAAGCAAACTAAGTTCTGTGTCTGACACCTGCACATAATCCCTTTTGCAGCAAACCTGGAAGAATTCTTCAAGATCTATGAGTCCATTATTCATGGATCCAAACAATCCCTCATGGGGTTGGAGCTGGTTGGAACGATGGATGGCAGCCCGGCCATGGGAAGGTCGTGGCATGACAGAAAAAGAACATAACAATGACCAGTCATCTGTAAAGAGTGCACGCAGCAACTTTGGAGGAGAAATCAGCAAATCTTATGCTCGCTACCAACTCAATTTGGATAAGCAATCCCCGAAGGCCAGCCAAAAGCCAAGCCAAACTTCAAGCCTCCAAACTCCTTCAACTCCTAAGCAAGCGTCCGTTCCTGCCCGAAAGCTGAAGTCAGCAAGCCCCAGGAGCAGTGTGGTTGGTCCTGATGATGACACAAGAAGCATGATCAGTGTGCAGTCAGAGCGAAACCGGAGACACAGCATTGCAGGCTCCTTCGTGCGTGATGATGAGAGCCTGGCGAGCTCCCCATCACTTCCAAGTTACATGGTACCAACTGAGTCCGCAAGAGCTAAGACCAGGTTGCAAAGCCCCTTGGGACTAGAAGCAAATGGCACACCAGAAAAGGGACCAATCGTGTCTGCCAAGAAACGGCTGTCTTATCCGCCTTCGCCAGCCAGGCCTAGGCGGCACTCCGGGCCTCCAAAAGTGGACAGCAGCATTACCAAGACAGAAGTTGCTGTGGTGAATGGAGAGGGCAGTTAGCTATTCCTAATCAAAAAGAGATGGAGCAAAGCATCATATGGCTGTGGACAACTCCAAATGAGCAACAACCAAACAACAAATAGGAAATGAAAAGGATAGAGAAACTACATTCATTTGATTTCTGAATCTTCTACAGTCAAGGGTTTCAATTCATTGTCCAGAGAGTGTTGTCATTGGTTTCTCGGATCAGCTCTGTTATCTGAATTATTCTTCTCATACATCCTTTGCTTGTTTATTTATTTTATGTTTATGCCTTTTTCTCCCCCTCATCATCGTTCAGGTGGCGGAATGATATTTGTGATTGAAAGCAAATTATGCCCAAATTCAGTTCATTAAAATTTCTTGTGTTGTTTGTATTTATTTGTATAAATAAATTATACACACTTCTTTGTTCTTGTTTATTTGGCACTTGGGATTACACTGATTGCCCTTTTTAACTTCATTTTCTTTTCATTTTTTATGAGATTTATCTGGTGATGATGGGTGTTCATTCATTGGATCAAATTTAATTGGAAAACTTTCAAAACTTTGATCGTCGCAGAGATTTGGGTCAATTTTGCAGATATACCCCATATTTTGTGGCATCGAAATTTAATTATTAGCAGTGATAGAAAGCTAATTGAAAGGAAAGAAAAACGGAAATTTTTTTTGATTTATAAACATCTTTTAAATATGAAAATTTTCTCAAAAAAAAATCAAAGAAATTTTTGTACTTTTATTTAGACTCAATAGACTTACCGTTAATTAAAATTATTAATCATTTTATAATTACATGATGTTAATATAAAATTAATATAAATAATGAAAAATATCATATAATTATATAATTATATCATGTGATTATATCATGTCATTATTCATTATCACATATTATCATGTTTTATGTTATCATTATATGGCATAAAATGGCATTTTGGTTAATAATAAATAATCAATCTATAATTATAAAAAATTATTTGATTTAAAAAAATTATAAAAGTATCATAGAATATAATAAAAAATAAAAAATTATTTAATTTTTTTAAAATAATTTAAAACTTTTTTAAGTATTATTTTTTTAATTTTAATTTTTACAAATATCGAAAAAAATAAAAATATTCGGCATTTCGTGGTAGAGTTCATTTTTTGTTGAGGTTTCCAGGATATTGTTAAAAAAATTTATATATTGTCGCCGAATAGAACAAAAATAAAAATCCTAAATAAGAAAATTCTTCTTGAGAAACACGTAGAAGGCGGGCCGGGCTAGAAAGTCGGTCGGGCAAGTTGTATAAAACCGGGTCTTTTCCATATTAATAGAAAAAAAACAAAATTACCTAAAAACCCACCACAGCAAAACCCTAAACCTCAAAGATTTAGAAACGGAATGCAAAAATCCAGAGACCTCTCAGACGCATCAGAGATGGTGAGTCCCTTAAATGATTCTTCTCTTTATCAAACTTTTTCCACCATGTCGAAAATTATTGATATTTACATGTTCAAATGGTATTTTCAATTTGGCTAAAAAATTGGGATTTTTGATTTTAGGTTGCTCCGTTAATAGCCGGACTTGCGGTGGCAGCGGCTGCTTATGCGGGTAGATACAGTCTTCAAGCTTGGCAGGCGTTTAAGGCAAGGCCACCGACGGCTAGAATACGAAGATTTTATGAAGGTGGGTTTCAGCCTATTATGACTAAGAGAGAAGCCGCTCTGATTCTTGGTGTAAGGTAAATTTTACATCTTTTGCTAAAAGATAACCTTTCTTTTTCATTGTCAAAATCTCTGCTTTATGCCATGAAATCGTTTCATTGAAGTTAGAAATGGCTTTTGATGAATTGGGTTTGTATAATTTTGTGGTGATTTGCTCAATGGAATGAATTTTATGTCCGGAATTAAAGTTAAGGATGGAGAAATTTGGTACTATTTGATTGATGTAGTTTCAAGGATGATGCTTAATCACTCATGGTCTTTGCAGTTGAGCTGAGGTTAGTTTAAAGATTGGGGATTGGGGATTGTTTAGAAATTAATCTCTAATTTTAGGTTCAAGCTTGTTGTCTAAGACTTTGAATCATTTGATGAGCAAAGGCTGTTAATGATTTGGCTTGTCTTTTTCCCTGGGCCCTATGTCTCAAACTGGAGATTTTGCTTCTGAATAGAGTCTAGCCATTGGTCATTGTACTCTTGTTCTTTAAATGTATTTACTTTAGTTCTTATCTGGTCATCGCACTCTTCTTGTAAACAATTTCACTTGTACCATGTTCTTCCATAACCTCCTGCCTGAAATTTTATATATTTATATATTGTTCCAATCAGAGAAAGTACTCCAGCAGAAAAGATTAAGGAAGCACATAGGAGGGTGATGGTAGCTAACCATCCAGATGCTGGTGGAAGCCATTACCTTGCATCAAAGATCAATGAAGCAAAAGATATGATGCTTGGGAAAGCCAAGGGTGGTAGCTCTGCTTTTTGAAGGAGACATTGTCATCACATGTCCAGATTGTTCACTTTGTGCAAAAAATTTATCATCCCAATACGCTAGAGCGAAAGAAGAGAGAAGAGTGTCTGTTCAAATCATTCTTTGGGATCCAATAGTTGTTAGACTATTTGGGAAAACTATTGATTTTTGTATCAATTTGTTGAAATTGGAGTTCATAGATATCCTAGTTTGACATGAATGCTTGGAAGAATAACAAGTTATGATGATTGTAATGGTTTTACTCTCTTCCAAACTCCAGTTCTTTCTATATGTAAAATGGAGTTGACAACGTGATTTGTTGATTATAATGGTAACACTTAGTTTCAAGCTCCAATTTTTGAGGCTTACATCCAAGAAGAAAAGGATAATTCTAAGCATTCCATTTAAACTGCAACTAAATATGTCCTCAAATTAGCTGCTTTTATGGCATATGAAGGAATTTTGACCCCTCGATGCAATTGCTCTTCTGGCAGAGAATGGTAAGATTATGTAGTGAAACAAGATCAAGATTTTATAGAAAATGGCCACGAGAGCTAACCGTTAAAACTACTAGGGAGAAAGCTCTCAGTAAATATTGGATTGACTGAAAAATAGATACAAACATTTTGAGCTCGGAATCAATCACTCGTCTTCTTGGTTCTTTTCGAACTGCCAAGGCTGGTCTTTCGTTAGATTTTCATCAATTTCAATTGATATGGCCCCCTTTCGAGGAATTAATAGAGCTGATGTTGAGAGCACATGCAGCTTGACTCTACGATGCGCATTCACTCACGGGCAGAAGATCAGGTGAACATGCCTGTGGAACTGGAAGCACAGTTGCGCACGTGCAGGCACCTGCCTAAACAGGAAGCTTGTCCCTCCTGGAATTATTCTGAACATATCGGTATAAGAAAACCTTTGTCAGCTATTTGCTGTTTCCAACAATACTGTCTTTTGGTCCTACCTTACTACCGCTAGAGATAATGAGTGCTACTGATTAAAAATCCGAGGTACCCTGATTTAAGTCGTAGATTCGATACTGAATATTGAATATCGATTACCTACTCCTCAAGCAAAGACAATGGGGAAATGCCCAAAATAATCGTTTATACTTAATGATTCTAGCGCGTAAGCTAAATTACTAAGATCATGCCTCTTTGCCTTTTAACATCTCACCTCTAAAGTACGTTTACTTTTAGCCTGACCTCTCAAGTACTTGTAACAGAGATTTTGAGACATCTAAAGTGCTCCTACGAGCTATGAGGAGCAATCTGTGGTATTTACACAAAAATTTGGAAAATTCAGGGGAAAAATTGTAAATCTATGGTGATGTATCATTTTTGGTAGAATCAGTAGCTGATGATTGCTCTTCTATATCTCCTTCAGAGAGAATTTCACCTTTGTCTGTTACTGGGTCAAGAGGACCTTGAGGACTTCCCAAGAGAGTAGAGAGTATCTGGCGATGGCATTCATCACAGAAAAAGATAAAGGAAAAATGGCCTTCATTTGGGAGCTTATGCATGATGGCCCCTGGTAGAACCCGGCTTATATAATTCATCATTGCTGGTGGAACAGCTTTGTCATCCATCCCCTGTACAGAAATTGATCAATAAACAGAGGTGAAACCAATAAGAGAACTTATATTAAGTTGTCTTTTGTTGGCTCAAGAGTCTAAATATCAGTAACACTTCAAACTAGAAATGCATGCATAAGTCACTGGCACAGTCAATCTAAACAAAAAATAGTGACCAACTGAATTCAAAACACTTGGAGATACTCTTAAATGATTGTTATATCACATATCAAAGGCTGACCAGCAAAAGATCTATGGATCCTGATATATGTCAAATTGCACTATAATCTCTTCAGTCCACAACAATAGAGGAACATATCATGTTCCTCGGACTGGATTTTTAAGAGATTAAAAAACATGCCAAATTGAGGTGATAGATTGCCAAAGATCTTCCAAGTTATATGGGAATGAACTCTCAGATATGCTATCCAGGGAAACCAAAAGGAAAAGTATGCAAACCTGCCATATATGTATTGGTCCCAGAAATCCTGCCAGTTCACATTCTGCTTGACTGTACAGGGACCTGAGCCAAGGGAAAATTCCACTTCTGTAACACTTCCTCTGCACCTGAAGATCTGCCAAACTAAAACCCCAGTTTGAAACCTGTAGGACAGCTTCCTCAATGAATGGTTTTGTATTTCCCTGGCGAATTGACTCCTCCACATCTCTATGCCAGAAGTCTTCAAATGTTTTTCCTTCAGTCAGAACCGTGTCCTGCACACAAAAAGATTATGTACTGCAAATCCTTCTGGTTTTCAACACTACGAATTAACATAACAAAAAATTTCTGCACTTCCAGACCTGGAACAAACTCCATAGGGTAAAATAGTTCACCCAATAGAGGGCACCATTTCATGCATTAATCCTTGTTCTATTTCTTAGTCCCATGACCAAAAGCAGTTCAATGTATTTGTAACCGAAAGAGTTTATCAGAGTATGTCATGAAACCCCAATAAAGTGGAAGTTTGCTCTTTTAAACACAGAAAGCCCTTTAAACTAGCACCTATCTACCCTAGCTCAAAATCATCTAAAATGAAAGGTAAGATATGGACACAGATGAGATTTGAGAAATTATTGAAGATGAGAGTAGACTCACCCTCCTTCCAAGGGACAGAGACATCCACTTCTCAATTCGGCCATGCTTGCCAGATAGGAAACTCCAGCGGTAAAAGAAGGACAGCAGTTTAGGCAATCTTCGAGCTAAATAATACATTAACTTCCTTCTTGGTAACCACTCTCCCCAAATACTTCTCATTTCTTCCTTAGCCAGGCTAGGTTCATATGGATTGATCATTGGAGCAACCATTGCAGCACCTGCAGATTTAGTCAAGATGCATCACAATAAGGTCTTGCATTGTTTGTAATTGCCTTTGCTAAGAAAATTTACACCACTATCAAATTGTGAGGATATGGTATTATCTTGATAAGTTCAAGAATCTGTTATGAAACCAAATACTTTCAAGGGCTTCTAAGTAACATTATGCTTATCAAGTCAAGTATCAAAATAGTAAATTTACAACCACTTCACACCTGCAATTCTGTGAGGAACATATCTGAGCGCAGCCCAAGCATGCATACTTCCACTTGAGAAGCCCAACACCCAGAACTTATCATTGACACCAACAGCATCAGCTAGATGAAGCATATCAAATGCTGATGAGTTCAGATTCCTACTAGGATGTGGATCACTCTCCCCAAAACCAGGAAGATCATATGTCACCAAGCGAACGCCAAACTCTTCAAGCAGTGATGTCTTAACTCCCGGTATACCTGTCCAAAAAAAATCATTAACAAGTCCACCAATTTTGATTAAGAACATGCATAAGAACCTCAGGCATATACAACTTTAATGGTTTGTATCTTACCGGCAAGTCGGGATGAAAGAAAAGGATGTGGAGAAATTAGAGAAAATCTAGCTTTATCAGCTGGAACACCGATTTCACGATAAGCCAAGTGTCTGCCATCTGGAAGCTGGATTCGACTCGCATTAGGAGGATGAACGCGCACTTTCTTCACCGGCGGTACCAATTCATCATGTCCACTATTTAAATTCAGAGCTGCAAATTTTTAAACAAAATAATAGTATAAACAAACAAAAATATCTTCTAAAATTATACGAATTTACAATCAAATATTTGAATTTCATCAATACCATCCTGAAATTGTGTGAATCTAACGTTCCAGATTTTCACTAACCAACCACAATAAGTCCAACTCAAATGATAATGTAAGAAGTAGTAGTAAACGATTTCGTACCTGAAAGTGCAAGGATGAAAACGAAGAAGATAACAGGCCAAGCATGAATTGGATCACGATCCTCAGGCAAGAACTCGTTCAAGAATCTCAATCGACCGGAGACCTTAGCCATCGGTCCACCAAGCTTCTGAACTATAAACGAATCTTCAGTAACTACTGTCTGCTGCACAATGTCTCTGCATCCTCTTCCAAGTTCTAGAAGCATCTCGCACCACGATTTCATAAATCCCGTCACCTGTTCCTTCAAACTCTCCGGCGGTTCCATTTCATGATCACTCTCAACGACCTCAGCCGCCGTCGCCGATTTCGCCGCATTGAACGGCGGTAACGGAGAGACTCCGATCGTTTCCCATGTGTATATCATGCCCGTGTCTTCCACTAAACTCGCCAGCTCCTCCTGCCACGTGTTCACTCCTCTAACTTCCGCCATTTTGTGAAAAAGATAATTCTCTCTCTCTCAACCAATCATCAATCTCTATAGAGAGTGAGCTTCGCTTTAACCAGAAGCCTCTCCAGTAATCATGAAACGTTTTTATAACAGTTTTTAAAATCAAATAAACAATGTTAAATCAAAGAAAAAAACAGAACTGCAACTGAAGCCTTTACAAGCGTGACGATGAAGCTTTTCATTTCTTTAATAAAAAAAAAACCCTAACCGAACCGACCACCACTAAAACCGAATCAAAATCTCCTTAAAAATAAATAAAGCTCAAAAAGTTTCCATTAACTCTCCGAAGAGTATCCATCTTTCTCTTTCCGACACATCAGAAACGGTTGGCTCTGATTATAATCTGACCTAATCTCTTCAATTCTTTTTAGAATGTGACTCGTTAATAAAATCCACAAGTGATGTTCTGATATTGAATACCTACCGTTGATTAGAGGATTGATGGTAACGTTTAGTCCACGTTAGCCAGCGCTGTGCCGTGGGATTAACGACTTGTTACCAGGTGGGACCGGTGAGTGTCGGGCGGCTATATGCCCTATTTGCACCTGCTATTGCCGGTGACAGGGTTAGAGCAGGATTAAGGAGTGACGTGGAATTTGGTGCATGTGACCTGGAAATGTTCCTTTCAACATAATCCTTTTTGCGGATTTTTTTTTTAATTTTTTAAAACAATCTTTTGATGAGGTTGTGATAGGGAGCTGGTCTTCCACCAGTCTGCACCGTTGATTTTGATTACATTTGATGTCGAACTTTGTTGAATCTAAGTCGACGTGATGGGAAAGGCGGAAATGTGGTCCTGAGGACGATGGTGATTGATTTGGTTTGGGGGTCATGGTCGTAATTGAACAGTAAAAAGTAAAAGGTCAAAGTAATGATGACGGAGACAAAGTTTCGTTAGTTGATGAAACTTTTGGTAATTAAACAATAACGACACATATTTCTAAATTCTTCGATAACGAACAATTTGTTCTTTTGCCTTTTTTTAACTTTCTCTAAATGGTCCCTCCACCTCTTTATCTTGATAATTTAAAAAATATTTGAAATTATTTTAATGTAAATTTTTTTTATCAAATGGTCGTTTTTTAGATAGTTAAATTTCAAGAATTATTTTGTTTAAGTCGATGGAATCCTAATCTTTATATAATTGAATGAATTAAATTTTTAAATCAATATAATGTGACCTTGGAGCATCAACATGTGATAAATTTTTAACGAGATAAACATTTGAGGGTCATGATATAATTTTAGTTAAAGAATAAATGATTTACCTGTAAAATTATGTTAAACGTATATATGTTTTATGTTTACTCTTTTTCAATCTAAATTTTAAGATTTTTATTTCATAATGTTTTAAAATGTTTAAATAATTTTTTATTGAATTCAATCAAGTTATTATTTTTTATTTTAAATTAAAATTAGTTTGATAATTAATAATTTGATAACTAATATTTATTGATTGTTATTAGTTAAAATATCATTTATTATTTTATATTTACGTGACTTTTTATGAAATTGATATGATATTAATATAAAAAGTGAAAATGCTTTATGACCATATTATAGTACCATATAAGCATGCAATATTATTTTCAATTATAACATGTCAAAATGTTATGTTTTTGTATCACATGATATAAAATAATAAAAAGTATTTTAATTAATTATAATTAATCAATCATTAGTTATAACACTTTATTTGATACAAAATTAAAATATAAAATTTTGATTAAACGTAATAAATGAATAATTTTAAAATTTTCTTATATAATTGAATTTCTTAAATATCATACTTTCTTCTTAAGTGCATGTGATTATAAACTATATAATGACGGCAATGACCACGACGACAATTAAGAAGAATAGTGATCATATCTATCTTACAAATATATATGTTTTTAAAGTTTAAAATCAAAATCTTCATATTAAAAATTTTAAGTTCTTAAATATTGTTATGTTCTAATTTAAAACATATTAAAATACTCTATTCAATGTCAATTATAAGTGCCGATTAATATTTGAATTAATAGTTGAGTAGGCTAAGTTATTTAGCACCCAATTAATATTTTAATTTAGATTTTTGGGTTATGGATTTTTTTGGATTGATTTTTTAGTTTTTCCATGAGTTTCAATGGTTGGAAATAGATGAATGTTGATATTTTTATGAATCTTGGTAAAACTTTTTTTGAAAATGGATTATGGTAGAAAATATTTTTTATAAGTGATCAAGATAATAAAAAATATGATTTAATTTATAAAAATAACAAAAAATATTATATTTTTAGTTAAATGTTATTTATAGAAAAATTTTCTTTAAACAAATTAATTTTCAATAATCAAAATTTTTTTTAATTTTAATTTATTATTAATTGACTTAACAAATTAATCAATATAACAATATAATGAGAAATAAATAAATATAAGATATATGACATAATTGATGAATGTTAATTTTTTTATGTTATTAAAGAAAATTTTGAAAAATAGGTCATAATGGAAAATTTTTTTATAAAATGATTCAAATAACAAAAAATATTTTTGATAATTTCACTAAAAAATAAAAAATATTAAATTTTTACTAAAATATTTTATATAAAAATTATTTTTTTAACAAGGTTTTTTACAATTATCAAACAAGTTGAAACTTAAAAATGGTTTTAATGAATTGGATTTGTATAATTCTTTTCGTTATCCATCTGACCTGGTCGAAGCCTGGGAGATGGCAGAACAGCCCAAACCCGGCGGGGTTCTGGCCCAATCCGACCTAATACGAGCGCTTTGGATTTTTGAAAATCTGGGTCGGGTAGAGATAAGTTATGATCGGGGCGGCCGCGGGAACGGGCTGCCAATCCCTACTCGAGTCTCCTCTAAAATTCTCTCACGGCTGGCTGGATCTTACTGCCAGTGACGGCAAGAAATAGTTTGCCCTGAGGGTTCTTAGAAAAAGAAAAAGGCTTTCCATCAGTCTATTGCCTGAGCCTTTGTTTTGCCTTCAGTAGAAAATCGCTATCAGGTTTGTTTTATTAAACTCCTTTTCATGATCTCACAATTGCTGCATTAGCTTGGTGAATACTCCTAAAATTGTGCATTGGGTGTTCGCTTAACTGCCCCGGAACCGATTACTGTACTTTTAGGCCTTCCTTTGGTAGGAAAACGGCCTTTATTAGTCCTTCTTTTCTGGTAGTTTCCAGTTTCCTCTGCTTGGAAGTAGTATTTGAATTATAACTTGATTTCTCACTAATTCATTTCCAACTTCTGAATTGGCTTAGACCAATGGCTACAAGCACAGGTCCTCAAGATCAACGAAAACGCACTCTAGAAGCATTAGAGCGAAGGTTCGCCGCTGCGAAAGCGGAGCTTCATCAACAACAGAAGAACAAAAAGACATCTGTCGAAGAGGATGGAAAAGAAACTCTTCGCATTGATTCGTCTATCGCCAATGCATCCATTGTGTCTTCCTCCAATTCATCATCAAAGAAAGGTTCTCAAATTTTCTCTGATCTTCCTAGGTTTTTTTTTGGCTAATTTATTTTCCATTATGTTTTACATTTACGAAATTTCTCCTTCTCGGGTCCGTCCACTTCACAAGGTAGTTATTTATATTGTTGATTGTGAACACTTCATTATGTTATATTGTATATCTTGGCTTTGATATGAGATGGATTTTAATTTTATGGATTTTAATTTTATATATAGACGTCGAAGAAAATGGTCAGGCGTATTCCCAGCTCTCGGAACCTATACATCAAAGTTTGCTACCAGCTAATTCTAAGGTAATTTTTCACTGTTTGAAATATTGCACTAAAGACTTCAAGAGGACTGATGTAATCTTAACATCTTTTTGTTATAGTTTTCCAACAGTAAAGGAAGTGTGGCTGATAAGATTTTGCATGAGCTCCTTCAAAGTGGGGATTCAGCACGGAAATATATGCAAGGATCTAGAAGCATGAAAATTGACAATTGGATCCTTCTTGATAATTACGTACAAGGCCGAGTTATGTCTACCGGCTCTCACATCAGGGCTTTGAAGAACCACTCTAAGCGCTCTAGAAAACACATGTCTATGAAGCAGCTTAAGAAATCTGGAGTATTTGAGATGCCTCAAGCCATTCAAAAGTGAGTATTCTATCAGGTATCTGATTGATACTTTTTTTTTCCCTTTTTCTTATGCTGTTGGAGTATTGTATTTCTTTGTGTTGCATTGGCCTTGGGTATTCGGTATGAGGTATAAGTTTGGAACTCTGGTTGTGATCTTTCCATTTTCATGTCCTTTTTGTTAAATTAATATTTTTAGACTTGGACTAGTTATTTTCTACAAAGAGTGAGGATATTAGGAACTGTTTATATATGTGCACTCTGTGTGTGGAAACTGGAAGTAGATTATTTTTCATATTGTTTAGCAATGAATACTTTTCAGTTTGTTCCAAAATTGAGAGAAGAGTAGGGATACAACAGCATATCTCTTGTTGAATGTTGAAATGGAAAGAAACTGGGATTGCAACAAATGGATTATAGGTGGTAGTTCTTTGTGAATGCTGTATGTTTTGTCTCTTCCGTTTATTTTCTTATTCTTTTTGAAGGGGGTGTGTGCTGTAGTGATGTTGTTCAACACTTCCATTTCTCTGCTTGAAAAATATCTATTTTGAAATCTTTTGGTCTGCCTTTGATCTACAGGTTTGATACATTTAAACCAATGCATGGAATGTGGAAAGGCTACATGGATCAACTTCTTGAAACTACCGGGTGAGATGTAATCTTCATTTTAATGATGCTGGTTTTTCAGTCATGTGGAGGTTGAGGGTAATGCTTTTTACTATAGCCATTCCTCTCTTAATTGCAGGAAAAACCAGTTGGCTCAATGTCTTCTTGGTGCAGATCTGCATGGTGCTTTTATTCTAGGTTAGACTACTTATTACCCGAGCAATACTTCACATTAGTAGAGCGCTTTTATCTGTCTGTGAGAATACAAAATTCATTCATGCTTTACCCACTTGAAGCAACATATATGGCAATATAATGGGAATAGTAAGGTATTTGAATGAATAATCAAGTTTCTTTCAGGGGATCTACATATTTCATATTGTTATCAAAGAACTTATGGAACTTTTCCTATTTAAGTAGAATGATTCTGGGGACTACAAAAGCTGACTTTAGTTGAGAAAACCTGTAGGTAGCCATTGTAAGTTACTCTATAAGTATTACTCTATAAGTATCCTTCCATCAATTCCTTGCTCTCAACTTGCCCGAAATCAATGCAAATGGCAATTTATAGTCATCAAGTCCTTGTCTTTTCTTTCCCTTCAACATTGATGTCTTTGTATCTTTCTTCCCTTCTGTTTGTTGAATGCTTTGTGCTAAATGAGTGATGAAAGAAAGCTATTTACATGATTTTTGGGTCTAGACCATGAGCATTCATGGGCTTAAATGATACAGTAATTACTAATTAGAACAAATTGATTTTATCTGCAAACAGTGTGCTAATAGTCTTTGATTTTGCGTAATGTAATTTATTCAGTATTTATTGTAATATTTCTCTCTGTTTTCTGACAGTTGCTGAATGCAAGATAACTAGTTTCACTGGAGTGAATGGTATTATGATTCGTGAGACTGCAGAAACATTTGGTCTAATTACCCAAGATGATCAATTCCGAGGTAGTTCAGCCACCATTTTAAAAGCTGTGCTATTTCTAATGTTGCTAAGTATATTATATTTTTGTTGATTATTGATTCTATTTTTGTACCTGGAGTTGCATGTATTCTATGGTAGTATATCTTTCTGCAAAGAAACACAAACTAGGAAGCTCTACAGCGTAGAAAACATACATCCTTGGAACAATTACATACGTGTCTCTTTCCCATTTGTTCCCTGTTCTTTATATACAGAGAGAGAGAGAGATGGGGAGGGAGGATATCTTTACTTGTTCATTTGTAGTTAGTGTTCAGAGCATCTATGCTTTTTGGCAGGGTTAAAATATGTGTAGAAGTTACATCCATTCAATCTTAACAAGGGAAGGAGACAGAAGGGACAGTTGGAAATATCGCGATTAGCATGTGTTTTTTGATATTGAACTGAGTGGTCCTTGAGAATTGGATTAACACTTTTATGCTTAATAGAAGGTATTTATGCTTCTTGGTCAAGACTTGAATGCTTATAGCAACTTTCTGAGGTTGAAGCCATCTTATAAAATTGATTGTAGTTATTTTTGTTTATTTAATTTATGATATCCCATCTACTGCCCCTATACTTTTTGTGACAATAACAACGATTTAACCATTCAGTTTTGTGCTTTGCAGTTGTGCCCAAAAAGGTATCTGTCTTCATATTCCAACTTGATTGCTGGAGAATTACATTACAAGGGAACAAACTCACTTCAAGAAACATAGGCTTGTGATGTTGATGTTAAACATCCCATTCGAGGAGTTCCTTTTCATTTGCATCGGATATCGGATAAGGTCACGGAAATTTTGTAGCATTTTTTGTCAAAAGAAGAGAATATGTGTTTCTTCCAGATAGGTCATCCTATGAATATGGTTGAAAGCCCATATTTCATCATATTCAAACCTGATGAAATATCTAGCATTATGGTCATGAAAAAAGTTTGAAGCTGTACAGAAAAAGGGGGAAATTCTTTTTATTATTAGTGCATATTGTTTCTGGATTTAGCGCTTTTGGTACTAGGAAAACCGAAAACTAGATGCTATTAAGTAATTTCCAAGCAAGTTAAAAGTAGTACTGCATCTTTCTCCATTTTTCCGTAGGATAACCAAATATAGAAGATATTTCGATGAAATCGTTATTTGGCATAGCCTTCTTTTAGGTGAGCCTTTCAGTTTCACCACTAGCTTGTATTTTAGTGCTAAGGTTGTTCATGTCTTTTTCTCTTTGGTGCGTCTTTCTCTCTCTCCCCCCATTTTAGGGACTGAAACAAACTTACAGAAGGGGCCCCCTCGCCTTTTCTCTTTTGTTTGTGTTTTACGGTCAGCATGCATGGAGGGAAGGGTTTTGAGTTGAAAAGCTGACATGCTGAATAAAAGGCCAAAAGGGAAAGGGGCAGTGGCTCCTTTTTCCGTTCATTTTGGTCTTTGTTTTCTTTGGGGTAATAAGTTCAGGATTTTACCAAGCCCAACTTCAACACAGGCAATGAGATGATTCTGCATATGCTTAGTAAATAGGTTCCATTCACCCTGGTACCATAACATTTGCAAGTTTGCAACCTTGGAAGTGTACACGAACATGTATAAAACTTATAAACACAGGCAACTCAAGAGTGATGAGCTTAACGGCCAAAAGGAGATCGATGAGAATTTAGGAGTTATCTTGATTATGTATTCCCACTCCACAAATTGGATTGTTTTAAAAGAAAAGCAGAGAGATTTAGCGTTACGCACTTGCTACATTTTGTGACCTTTGGCCTTATATACAACAACAAAGCATGGAAGCACAGCTCTTGCATTCAAAACAATGAGTTCTTCCGAGCCTTCCAATTGATCCCTAGACAAACTTACCACAGAGTCAAAGCCACCGTCTTGTCCATCCACGAGTCCATGTCCACGATATCGAGCAACTCTTCCTGCAATTACTCTGCACACAACAATGGCTTTTCTAGCACAAATTTTATCAACAACACAGTCAGTCACAACTTTTCTATGTGCTTGTCGGCTGTTGTTACTCAACACGACTGATTCTTCACCTTCTGATAAGCTAGAACCAACCATTTTGCAAACTCCACAGCATTCCCTATGGCAAATGCTTGAGAAGTCATTATTTCCTAATGAACAAGTCACGATGGCACCATGGAACCTTAGGAGTTCATTGCCATCAACTGCCAATCTCTCCATCATCCTAGTCTCACTGGCAGAAACGTTTGTAGACTTTGATTTCAGAATCTCCCTATATTCTTCAAACTTGTTAAGGGCATCTACACCATGATTGATTCTCAATACTTTCTCAATTTTGAGGCCTATTTTATTGTCCCACCCTGACCTAAAGATGGTTTCCACAACACCATATGACGGCTCTTTTTCGACAAGGTTTGAGACCACATAAGAAGCTCTGCCACTCCTTGACGTGGGAAGAGTGGAAGGAGAGGATCCCATGTTCATGTTGAAAGCAACTGAAGTTCTGGAAAGAGAAGAATCGGCTCCCAAATCATTTTTGTTGGTGGATTTTGATGGCTGTTTCTTTTCACGGCGAGATTTTTCTCTTTGTGAGGAAGTAGTCTTTGATTTAGGTCTGAAACACTTAATGGTAGCATTGGGATGGCATACCAGCGCAGCCATAGAAGCTGCCATTAGGCATCTTTCAACCATTTCCTTTTTCCCTTCTAAGAACACCATCTCTTGCCACTGCTAAGTCCACTCAAAGGCAAGCACCAGCACCAGCACCAGCACCAGAGAATTTTTCTTATCGCCTCCAAAAATTTTGCCTGAACTTCAATGCAAACTTATGTCAAATTCCTTTAACGAGATAAAATGGCTTAAATTTCGCTTGGCAGTTTTATAGTTTTACCATATCTTATCTCCAAAGTCAACATCACCCCTGATTGAGCCTTCTAACTCTATCAAACTACAGTTGTCCCCAAGTTTCAGGACTCTCACGAAGTGTTCAACGCGAAGAGCAAGCTTGGACACACAATTTTATATAAATATATATCATATGTATGTAAAATTTAATGGTGAATCTCACAAATGACGTTGATGAAGATAATTTCGGAATAATTAATAGCATTGAATGCCTGTCGTACTAGTATACAAGAGAGAAACAATGTCGTTTTCATAATATTGAATGAATAATATGTGCACGTTTGAATGTTTAAATGTGTTGAATATTTGCCGATGGAGCTTTGGATTGACACGCTCCAAGTTTATCTGCCAGGAATTGTATTAGGCGATTTGTGTTTGGGAAATGGGGAATCCCTTTTTTAAGTCAGATCAGGTTGCTTTCAGGCTCAGGCTTTCCTTTGGATCCAATCTTCTTTATGTGATAGCAATGTGTCTTCTGATTATTTTGGTAGAGCATGTTTGATTAATGTTTTCTCATTGAGGTTAGCCTAATACTCTTCCATTTCCATCCATTTTTAAGCTTCTAGCCAGTGGGAAACATGGTTCTGGGATCAAAAACAACAGTCAGGCCTATCCTATATATACTAGCATCCTTACATTTGAAACTAGCAGAAGCTTTTACATTTTCTTGCCCATTTTGTCCAATACTAGTAAAACAATCAAGTTGCCGGGTTTCTCACCTTTTATCAGAGTCTTCACACCCATGGTGAGCAATTATTTGCCTGAAGATTTTAGGAGGTAGAAATTGGGCTACTCCCTGAGTATTGCCCTTGGACCCTATGTATGCTTTGGTATACACTATTTGATTATAAAAAGGATTGCTGATGAGCAAGTGCTTCTATAGCAGTTTTCCTCCAAAAATATCAACAGTGTATGATGAAATATAATTGGAGATCATACAATGAATTGTTGATTTTAACAAAGAAAGAAAACACAATATCATTATATTGGCACTAACAAAATGGGAAAGGAAAAGGAGGAGGGGGAAAGCTATGTGTAATGAACTAGAAGGGGCCCCAAGGCCACAACTTAACTTCTATGGAAAGATAGGCTAACTTTTTAATGTCTTTCGGTGTTGTGGACAAAGAGAAAGCATGTGTTGTCAATGACTCATTGGAAGGTTTACCATAATTGTTGATATTCTGCCACCACTTGCTAAACCTGAATGTAAAAAGATTCAAATCCAAGCAATAAAATGGGGATTTCTGATTGTGATCAACACAGATAAAAGGTTTCAAATACAATCAACTCAATAATATAGCATTTGAAGGCAAATCTGTAAACTTATATTTCTTCAATGTGTTAATGATCACTTAAAAGTTACAGTGAAGAGACTTTGTTCCTTTTGAATCATGGAAGAGTTAAAAGTTAACTCTGGCTGAAAAGCTAATGCATATTTCATCATCCATTGGACTAGAAAGATTTACCCTGCCCTAGGTCCTAGGAGCTCTTAGAGAAAGATTCATTAATTATTTGCAAGAATATTTAGACCCATTGTTAGGTTATTGCATTGATTCTACACTGGAAAGTGCTGTTCAAACTCACTCTTCAAAGAAGGTTGGCAATAGGCATGACTACATCCTTCCTCTCGTCATTTTTCCCCCCTTTTTTTATGGAAAAAAACCCCTGAATTGAGTTGTCAAGTAGTTTTTGCTAGTTCCTTGTGTTGTCCAATGGGAATGATCAACATCGCAAGCAATAGATTATTATTTGTTGCTTTCATTGCAAACAAAGCAAAGGCCAAAACACAATGAGAGACACATCTTTCTCCCTATGATTTACAACCTTATCCTTGCATTTGTCCTCAAAAGGAGGGTTTTACTACAATGCAAGACAAACAAATATGAGTGCTTTCTAACAATTGGAACCCCACAAGAATATTTTCCTCCTTTTTATAAGGCGAACACAAGGAATTAGGCGCACATCCAAGTCAGTGATGGAGTACTTGTGATCTTTAAAATTGTCCTCAAAGCCTGGAGACATCATTAGGAGACCTATAATCAAAAGTGAAACACATGGGGGGCTTTGGCTTTCAAATCCTTCGGCAAAACAAACTTGATTTATTGCTCATATGACAACTAACAAAATGTTGGTGGGCGGTTTTATTTCAATTTGAGCAGGAAATAGCCAAAGTAGGCAATGTCTTGGGAAAATGGTCCCAAAGTGGTGTTATTTCTATGGACCCCCATCAAACAAAATGCCCTAAATAACAAGGCTATGCACATGTGAATGAATAGTTGAAAACAGGAACAAGACGCACACTTTAATTCCAAGGATTACTCTATACAGCCATTGCATTGGCTCATTATGGTGTCTCACCACTGTCAATGCAAAGGAAAGGTCCAAAGGAAAATTTTGGGATTTTCCAGGTGAACAAGTAAAATAATATCATCCAGAATCTTATAAAGAACAGACAGGTAAAAGATTAAAAGAAACGAAATTTCCCACTTGTACCTGTAAGAGCTTATGCAAAACAGCTACAGCCTACATATGGTGTGATTTGAAGGAAAGTTTGGTCTTAAATAAATCTTGACTGTTCCCTTTGCGTGAAATGACTCACTTCCTTGCGATATTTATGGCAAAGAGTGTTATTAGATAAGCAAATGCCTCACCAGAAAGACGAAAGAATGACAGGGAAAACAAAAACCAAAAGAAGAAAAGTAATGCAAAGGTAATAATCAAGTGATTGTTAGAGATTGTTCAGATGATAACCACACATTCTAGTTATGAAGACAGAGATCGAGAAGGGGTGGTTGGGAATGCAACCAAACAACTTCAAATAGATTAACCTGGTGTTTCATCCAACACCCTTTGAGGAAAAGGAAAGAAATGTAAATCCATTGAGCTTTTTCTATACAAAAACTTGTAAATAAGACAGTAGCTGAGTTGTTCTCTTTGGCCGGAATGCAACAGTGGAATTTTGTTCCAATTTAATACCACACAGTGTATTTATTATCATTATTATTTTGAAATGAAGCATCAAAGTCGAGCCATAACTTGATTCCCTTTGTAGGATTTATTGTAGATATTTATTTGTTGCTATACCTCTGATTTTTGAAATACGAAGGGAAAAGACAGGAGAAAGATGTCGTTTCTTATGGATGAATCAACAGCTTCCTCTCTCACTCCATGCTTTGATCATAAGGGAGATTAACTACAGTTTCAAAGGAGGAAATAGTAGAGAGCCTCAGCATTCAGCAATCAATCATAGCACGTGAGTGAGGGAACGTGAAAGAGCGCGTGAGAAAGGAGCGTGGCAACTTAATCAATCACAATCTCCTGCATAGGAAAACGTCCCAGGAAGCCAGCGCCTTTGCTTACTCTCCCCACTGACATTTCACAAAAACAGTGAAACAAAGAAAGAGAAATAGTTGGCCTTGGGGAGCTGAACATTGAGACTGCAGCAGAACCTCAGCTCAAAGAGATTCAGAAGCTCTTACTAAACCCTGTTTGGTCTTTCCACGCTTGGGTTTTCTAGGGTTTTTTGTTTCCAAGCTTCTTTTTTTTTTTTTCTCTTTCTTCTTGCATCCTAAGTATTAACCAAAGCTAGCCAACTAGCTAGCCTGCTCCTCCAGGTAAAACCCAACTCTGTTTTTTTTTCTTTTCTGTTTTCTTGCACATTTGTGTTTCAGGTTACAGTTTTCTCCAATGCAGTTTTCTTCTTGTGCTTACTCTCTTAGTTTGTTGGATGCTCTTTTAGTTCTTTTGTTTTTTTTTTTTAAATTGAAATGAAAGTTTGAGATTTTTTTTTGTTAAATGTGTTTAAGAGTGAGTCAGGAGTTGTCAATTTCTTTCTGGGTTTTGCTTACTTTAGTTAGTAATGACGTCTCCTTTTGTGTTTCTTTTCTCAAGGAAATCTCAGTTTCTCTGCTGATTTTCTTCTCGGAAAAGAAAATGTTGCTTCACCTTTGCACTGCAGAGCTTGTTTACAGCTAGCTCTCATTTCCTTTTCTTTCCTTTTTAACCAAAAAGGAAGCGGAGTCAAATTTTCATCCTTTTTTTTTTCTCAGAACCGTAGCCGCACAATTACTTCAAATTTAACTTGGACCTCTGTTTTCAGCTCTGTGTTTAAGCTTACTTTCCATTGCTAACTTGCTCCTGATCCGTACAGCTTTTATCGATCTCAGCTTTGGTCACTAAAGATTGAACAAAGCCTTACCCAGTTTTCAGCTTTCTGTAAAAAAGATGAATCTTATCTGCTTGCTTTTTACATATATGTTTTCTTACCAAGTTGGATCATACCTTGAAACCATGTTTCTTCAAGTCCATTTGTTTGACTCTCTATACTTCCAACATTGTGCATGGTTCAGTGAAGTCTATATTCCTTGTTTTTTACTTTCTATGTTAAGGAGGCAAAATTTGAAGAAAAAATACGAGATTTTTAATGAGTTCAAGAGCTTTAGTCTTAAATTTGCAGCAGAAAATGGAAACGTAAGAAATGTAGTTTTCTTTGATTGGAATGACTACACTATTGCACGCGCACTGGCACACAGTTTCACTAAGAACAGAATGATCAATTTTTGGTCCAAGAGTATTGCACATCAACAGTTTTGAATTATAATTTCAAACCAAGCAGAAGCAGCCAGCCCTACATGGTTTATTAACTTCATTCATTTCTTGCTGGTCCCTTGTGGTTTCTGTAATGTTTTTTGTAGCATAATTTTCAGAACAGGAGTGAAAATAGGAAGGGCCCAAACAGAGAGAGAGAGAGAGAAATGAAAAGAAAAGGTGGAAACATGGTTTATGTAATTATATTTAATGAATTCATTTGATGGCTACCTTTTTTTTTTTTCCAATCCTTTTCTTTCTTTTTAAATTTTGTCATTTGGTTCTGGTTGGTGGTAGTGGAAGTAGTTTCTGTGGAGTTTCTTTGAAGGGATTTTATGGTTTGTTTGTTAGTTAGGTCTTGTGCGTACGGCTAAGAGATGACGCTCCTTTCATGAACTATGCTTCCTCTTTCTCTACAATTATATATCAGATTCTCTCTCATGTTCCTTCTCAGCCCACGATTTCTCTGAACTATTTGCAGGTGGTGTGGGTCTGGTGGGGTTTGAAGCAGAGCACATATATCTTGCCCTTTTACCACTTCAACTCAAGGGGATATAAAAATCATGCAGACGCCAAAAGCAAGGTATGATCGCCATTAGTCCATGACTTTTATAGCATTTTAATCATTCTTTTCCCCTTAATCTGCTAGTTTAAGTTTTTTAAGAGCCAATGCTTTGCTAATCTCCAAAGTGTACTATTTACAATAGAACCTGATGTCATGAAGCCTTCATCAGTCCTGTTTGAGGCAGCCTCCCCCTTCCTACTCCTCTTCTTCTTCTTCTTAATTTTCCTTTTTTCAAAAAAGTTTAATCAGTTTGCAATTTACTTGTTGAGTATTAGCCTAATTAGTGGGTTGGACCTGGTAAATTTCAGGGTTACTTAATCAATTATCGTCTCCTACTTCTGTTAGATGTTAACCATTTTATTTATTGTCTTGTATAAAGGCTATGTTTCTCGCAATGTTTGAAAATTTTCATGTGAACTTCGTTATCGAAATGCATGCTAATAGGGATCTGGATGAGATTTTTTTTTTTTATATTGATGTTGTATTTTTATGCACACATTCTCAAGAAGCTGAAATATCGTTGTCACAGTATCAGTAGCTTGTTAAAACCTTTTATCCCTTTTCAAGAAGCAAATAGTCTGACAAGTTGAGAGGGAGATTGGAATGATCCTAAAGAAGGTGGTTCACAGTTGTTTTACTTGTGCTTGAAAAAAATGGTGCGACATCAACTTCTTTGTGGTTGTTGGCTGCTTAATCTTGAAGTTGTTGCTGGCCTTGACCCACCAAGTGCGCCATGATTTAACCTATGGACAATTTGTAAAAGTAGTTACATCCTCTTGAAAGAACCGTTTACATGATACAACATTTTGTTTAGCCATAGCTATTACAGAAATTATGTAAAAGCTTCATTCATTTTGCTGCTATTTTCTTTTATTATTTTCCATTTTATTGTCTTTGACAGTAGAACAAGCTCCTTGGAAGTGCCTCAGAGAAAATCTCCTGCAACACCTCGAACTGCTCGTCAACTGAAGACGCCAGGACCTGATTCTGACACAGTTTCCTCTCCAAATCCTGCAAGTAAGACTCCCAAAGATAGAAGTCCTAAGGTTACTGCACGCAAAGCATTGAGAAGCCCAGTATCTGAGGTATTCTACAGTCACTTGTGCCTAAATCAGTTTATTTTTATGGCAATTGGCAAACAGTATATCCAAATATAAAAGGTTCAGTCTAGGATGAAGCAACTACAATGAAAACATTTCTGCACACTGTTCAATTCCGGTATTTTTCTGTTTGCTTATCTACTTAGTTACTCCCACTTACGTAATGTTTACCCTTGTTGTGTGAGCTCTAGAAGCAGCGCCCAAGCAAAGTGTCTGAACTGGAATCACAGCTTACTCAACTCCAAGATGATCTGAAAAAGACAAAGGACCAACTGACTGCATCTGAGTCATGGAAGAGGCGAGCTATACAAGAGGCTGAGGAGGCCAAGAAGCAACTATCAGCAATGTCAGCCAAGCTTGAAGAATCTGAACAGCAGTTGATGGAAATTTCTGCCTCTGAGGATGACAGGTTGGAAGAACTCCGTAAAATTTCACAAGATCGAGATAGAGCATGGCAGTCTGAACTTGAGGCTGTCCAGAAGCAGCACTCAATGGATTCTGCTGCCTTGGCTTCTGCCATGAACGAAATTCAAAAGCTCAAAGTTCAGCTGGAAAAGGCATATGAATCAGAAGCCATTCAGACTAAGCATGCTGAATCTGCACATGCTGAGATTCAGAACTTGAGAATTGAGCTGACTGAAACTCTCTTGTTGGTTGAAAAACTTAAGTCTGAGCTTACTGATTGCAGAGAATCTGAAGCCCAGGCTCTTGAAGTTGTTAGTAAAACCCAAATGCAACTGGAAGCAGCAAATGAAACCATCGAAAAACTGCGTTCTGATGCAACAAAAGCAACAGAAGCTTACAACACATTATCATTGGAGTTGGAGCAGTCAAAAGCTAGAGTTAAGTCACTGGAGGGACTTGTGAGCAAGCTCCAGGCAGAACTGGTTGGTAGTAGCAGCAAAATATCTAAGGATCCCAAAGATGATGAACCACCACAGCGGAATGGAGAAAATGAGGAAATACAGCAGCTTAAAACAGAGCTTAATTTTGCAAAACTTGAAGTGGGTCAATTGAGATCGGCACTGGATGCAGCTGAAGTCAGGTACCAAGAAGAATATATTCGGAGCACATTGCAAATTAGAAGTGCTTATGAACAAGTGGAAAACATAAGAACACAGTCATGCCAGAGAGGGGCAGAACTAGAGGCAGAATTAAAGAGAACCAAAGCTGATGTTGAAGAACTGAGAGCAAACTTAATGGATAAGGAGACTGAACTTCAGAGTATTTCAGAGGAAAATGAGGGCCTGAATTTGAAGATTGAGAAAAACCAGTCCAGTGAAAGAGAGTCTGAACTTGCAACGGAGTTGAAGAAGATAGAGGCAGAGTTGACAGAACTGAAAGCTAATTTGACAGCGAAGGAAACAGATTTGCAGAGTGTAACCGAGCAAAATGAAATGCTCAAAATGGAAATTAAGAAGAGTGAAATGGAGGGTTCTAAAGTTGGTGATGAATCTGTTGTTTTGTTAGAAGCAGCAAGGGCTGCAGAGCGCGAGGCGGTGATGAAACTCGGCTACTTAACTGAGGAAGCCGATAAGAGTAGCAGAAGAGCAGCACGCGTCACTGAACAGCTCGATGCAGCACAAGCAGCAAATACTGAAATTGAGGCTGAGTTGCGGAGACTAAAGGTGCAGTCAGATCAGTGGAGAAAGGCAGCAGAGGCAGCTGCGGCCATGCTCTCTACAGGGAACAATGGGAAACATGCCGACAGAACCATATCTCTTGACAACAACTATAACCCCATAATGGGTTCACCCAACTCAGAAGACATGGATGATGATTCTCCCAAGAGAAAAAACGGCAACATGTTGAAAAAGATTGGTGTGTTATGGAAGAAAGGACAGAAGTAAGATCAGATGCGGTGCAGGTTGCACATATTTCTGCTCTAAATGTTTAACGGTTTCGATATTTTCTCTGTTTTTATGGAAAATTTTCTCTTAATTTTGCTCTTAACATGTCTGGTTAGGGGTGCTTCCTATTGAAGTTTCAATGTTATGAAAACTGCTAAAAGGCTAAAACCCCATTAAGAAGACTATTTGTATATGCGAAAACTTGCGCATTTTGTCAAGTTCTGCTTCACCTTAATATATCTTTCTGGTGGATTTGGATCAATGGAACAAGAATCTGCATTCAGAGCCATAACCAACTGTCTGAATGTGGACAGCTCATCCCAAAATAGATTCACATTATATAGAATCATAAATTATTACTCATAATAAAATGAAAAAATAAATTCTTACCATAATTGATTTTAATTTTATTAATTAATCATTTATTGTTCTCAGAATTTATGATTGGTAATGATGTAACTTCAAAATTTCATACAAATTTTAAGTTAGTTGCGTTCTTTTTGTTGCAATATATAAATTTTATACATTATCATTTAATCACAAAATATTATTTTATAAAGTATTTATTTCCAACAGTTTTTAATTTTTAAATTTATTTAGTAAAGACTTGTATAAATTTATTTACTTGTTACAATATAACAAATGTAAATCTTTTTACGTATTTATTTTCTCTATAAACCAAAAAATAAACATTCTCGGAGAGCTCTTTCATAACTCTAATGTGTATCGAGAACCTGGGCCAGTCAAGCCGCAGGGGATTATGACCAAAAAACCGGCTTAGATTAGGCCCAAATGAAGCCCAAGGCAACTATCTTATTGGGCCCAATTCAAAACTGTTATCTATATATATGCCCCATCATTTTTAGGGTTAGAGCCTTCAGGGTTTAAACTTAGCGGCTGCGGCTACTTCTCTTCTTCGCCTGCAAATCTCTCCGAACCCTCCTGTCAGTCGAAACGACCTCTCTTAGCCAACATGGGGTATGTTCTCTTCTTCTTAAATCTAGATAAAGTCGATAGCTTTTCCTCCTCTTAGCTCTTGTATGTTTCTCTTTTTGAATGTTGAAGCCGCTCTTGCTTATTCAACGGAATTCATGGTTCTTCGCGAGAAGTGTTTGTTTTTGAATGTGGGTTTTGGATTTTGAAGTCTTTCGTTAGTTCTGTTCTTTGTTTCGGATGTTAGATGGGGAAAAAACCGAAATTTTTTTACCTATAAGTGTATTGGTTTTACTTTGATTTTAGATTTTGCGAAAGTATAGCCTTATTTGAATTTTAGATTGCTTTCTATTTAACTCTTAAGTTTTAAGTACTGAATTGAAATATGGGTTTGAGTTTATGATTTATATGAGAAGTGATGCTAGCTTAACTATGGGGATAGAATGTTTGTTTGGATTCGTGTTATAAGTTTTAGGAAAATTAGCCTTGAGTGATGCTTGTTTGAATTATATAGTGGGCTTTCATTTCAAGTGATATTGTCCCCCTCCTCAAATATTTGTTAGACAATACAAGTTTTATAGTTTTAGGTGTAGAATTTTATCTTTGAGAAGTTAATAATAACATTAATGGTTTTTTTTTCAGGAAGACACGTGGTATGGGAGCTGGACGCAAGCTGAGGACCCACCGTAGGAGGCAGAGGTGGGCTGATAAGGCATACAAGAAGTCCAACCTTGGAAATGAGTGGAAGAAGCCCTTTGCTGGCTCATCCCATGCTAAAGGCATTGTTCTTGAGAAGATGTAAGACTAGATCCTTTTTATTGGTGTTCTTGTTTTCCTTGAACTATTATTGAAGAAATGTACTGATGGCTTTTGTAACATTCAGAGGTATTGAGGCTAAGCAGCCAAACTCTGCCATCCGTAAGTGTGCTAGAGTTCAACTGATCAAAAATGGAAAGAAGATTGCTGCATTCGTTCCAAATGATGGTTGCTTAAACTACATTGAAGAGAATGTGAGTATTAGTAAAGTGAAATTGTGTAACTCTAGTTGTTTAGGCATATTTAGTATCTTTTTGTTACTTCTCTTCTAATGAGAATATGTTGGCAATAGGATGAGGTGTTGATTGCTGGATTTGGACGAAAGGGTCACGCCGTCGGTGATATTCCTGGTGTCAGGTTCAAGGTTGTGAAGGTCTCTGGTGTTTCACTCTTAGCACTCTTCAAAGAGAAGAAGGAGAAGCCTAGATCATAAGTCTGCAAGGTGGAGGATGGCTCTTACTGTCTTTTTATAGTTCTACTTAAAACTGAGAGCTTATTATTGCTTGGTAGCTTTTCTGGACAATGTTTTGTTTATTTATCGACTGGTTATTTTATTGAATTTGCCATGTCAACTCAATTGAAAAGATTTTGGTGTTTTATTGCTATTCCAAATCATTCTCTTCCTCGTGCTATGAATTCAAGCCTTTACTATCTAGCACTGCTATGCTTGTCTGAATATTTTCTTGTTGCTAACAAGTCGGAAGATGATGGAACTAAGAACAAGTAAATTTCGCAATCATTCCAAGTAAAATATCCATTACATTTTCAGCAAAGATTTGCAAACATTTCCTTAGGAAGTGGTTGAAATCTTCTCTTTTGGGGTTGTGTTCTGTTGCAAACATGTCTGTTATTTAAAACACGAAGTAAAAGATAATACAAACAATATCTACTACAACATGACCAAAGGCAGAACATTCTAAGCTTGCCATTTTGGACTACAATCTCAAGTTCTGTTTTGGTAAGTTACCATATGTTGGACTTCAAATATAGTAGTAATGAATATACATATCCTTGTGACAAACATTTTCGTGATGTGGGCACAAAATCTTATATTCACGTGACCAAAACTTTTTCCTGTAATGCTTGGTCTCATTGCATGATAAACGTGGGTGGACATAAGATGCATCATGAACTAAGCAAATCGAAAGACTTCAAGTTCAGGCCTGAAATTCTATCAGATGCACTCCATGAAACCAGAACATCAGATTCGAACTTGGTGAAAATCAAATCTGGATTACTCATTACTCGATATAAGTAAAAATTCCACTGAGCTTACAGAGTAGTACAGAATCTACAAGGCGATGTTGTATCTAAAAACTCCCAATAAGAATAATTGAGAGGCGGTACCGTATCAAGGTACCTTAAAAAATCTGCTACTTGAGTGTTGCACTTGTCTTAGCTGTTCTCCGGTGAAATGCTCTCTGGAAACTGTAATGTGGCTGTCTTGTCCACCTCCACTGCTGATCCTGGTGTAACTGCCAGTGGTGTATGAGCATCCATATTGTAAAAAGAATCCTTGACTGAGAAAGGTCTCCTTGAGCCGGCAGTAATTTCAGAAGTCATAGGGGAAGGAGAAGTGCGAATGGATTTTGACAAACAGTTCTCAACCTTCTTGTCACCATGAGCAAGATGAGAATCAGCATTGGGTTCTTTCTGAGTGTCTGAAGATAAATACCCTTCTGCGGTGCCAGCAATTTGATCTTCAATATGAGCTTCTTCCTTTTTTTTGGTGTTGTAAAGGATAAGTGTATCAGTCTTCAGATATAAATGGCTGTATGTTTCATTTTCAGCAGCTACTTTCAATGGGATTGTGTTCTGATCATCATATTTGGAAGATAAATTATCAGTGGTTTCAGGTACTCCATCAAGAGGAACAATCTTGGTATCCTTTATGCGACCTCCATCCTTGCCTCCCAGGCCCTGAGCCTTAGAGTAACTTTCTCTACCAGTTTTGGGAGATGACTTATTCTGAAATTTTGGAGATATGCCAGGGCTGCTTTTAGGGTTTCTAAAAGCACTTGATACCTTTGCTGCAGCATTTGGAGATTTTTGAATAGTCAAGGAAGATCTAGATTTCACAGCAGAGGAAGTTTGCTTAACATCAACCTTGGGGCTCCGGATTGCAGTAAGAGTTCTAACAGGTTGAAGCTTTCCAATCTTTGCCTTGTTTAAGCTCCCACTTGGACTAGTGCTTTTAGCTCCAATTTTAGGCAAGCCATTAGGTACACCAGGATGAGACAGCATACTCCCATTTGGAGTGCGTCCTGATGATCTAACCTGCATTGATCACACTTTCCCAGGTTATAGTACTTTCCGAACAAAGCAAACTAAGACTAAAAACATTACAAAAGGTGGTTTGTTCAGCAGAAGATTCTGAAATGAGATTTTCCATCTGCTTATTCTTGACACAGTTTGGCAAAAACCACTTCCAATCTATTAAACAGAGAAATTTTAAAAATTAAGTACTAACCCCATCAAAAAAGCCAAGTTTTGGTGATGGCATTCGAAGGCCGGAGGGTTTCATGGAAGCTGGATGAAGAAGCCCACTAGTTCCAGCTGAAACTATGTTTACACTTTCTTCAAGTGAGCCAGTAACCTCAGCACCATCTCCCATTGAGCAGTGACCAGTAGGATGGTCTTGAGAATCCAAAACTTGGTGGGCATCCCTATTTGTACCAAGTCTTTTGCAAGAGCCAGTGCCAAGGCTAGGTCTTACAAAATTAGACCTTTGATTAACAGTAGAGGTTGATGATGATGACTCTGAGGACCAATCACTGATAGAGCTAGCAGGAGATATACTGGAAGATAGCTTGGTAGAAGACTTCGAAAAAGTTGAGAGCCTTGAACTTCCTGCTTGATTTTTACCTTTTGATGCAATTTTCGATGGGGTGCTGATATTGCAACCAGAGGAAGATGGACTAACTATTCTGGAGTCGTTTGTTTGTTTAATTGAATTCAAGGAAGATTTCGTAATTCTGCCAGATGAAGCACTGGCACAGCTCTCAAGTGAGGAACAAGAAGTTGTCAGCTCTGTTTTAATTGAGACTGGAGAACATGAAGAAGACTTGGAAGATAATGTAGGCCTAGGCACAATATTTCTTAAACCACCCAAAGCAGGAGTCTTTGAAACTGTAGTCCCTCTACCTGCAACCATTAAATTGAATTTAGTGATTTAAACAGAAACATAAGAACGATAACTTCTTCTGTTTTCATGAAACTAATCTAAACATATTGTAGTCTGAATTACCAGTCACACTTTTGGCATCCTTTTCCATTTTGACATTCTTAGAACCCAAGGAAACCCTTTTGCTTGGTGTTGTTGAAAGGGGACCAACCCTGCTTAGTGCCTTTGGTGGCTTATGAAGTGATGAAGTTGGCTCTCCACTTCTAGCAACAAACTATTGGTAAAACCAAAAACAAAGTCAGAGTTGCAGTCGTGCTAAATAGCAGTTATATGGTTGCATATTCAGCAGTCGCATAGAACTTTTACGGGCTTACAGTATAGCTTTCTGAGAATGTTGCTGTGTAAGTCAATTTAACCTAACAATTTAGATTTGAAAGTTTAAAACTCACTTAAAACAACCTAGATTGTTAAATAATATTCATCTCTATTTCAACTAGAAAAGATTATACAACTTGCGGCTACTCATTCGCATGACATAGCACAACACATACCTGAGAAATTTGTGGACGGACAGAAACCTGCTTCATTGTTTTCCCAGGGTCTTTCACACAAATGTTTTGCTTTTTTGAAGCAGCTTTCTGCTTCATCTGGAATCACAAAAATGTTATTGGAAAAATACAAGTAACAAGTAATGAAAATTTACTGCAGACAATTCTTTAATGCACCTTTTCTTGAGTAGCCAACTCTACCTTCTTTGAATCTGGAAAGGGAAAAGAAAACAGGGCACTGTCAGTTTGAGAATATTTTTTGAAATGATCATGTATGCCTAGCTTGTTAATTTGCACCCTACATCTCATCTTATTTAGAAAGAAGACAAAAAAGAAGCTCAGCATGTGAATGAAAGACTCTAGATTAGGCATTTTATGCAATTATGTGATTCACAAAGAAACATGGTCTGGACCTAGAAGGCATGTTCATTTGCACCTATGGACATTTGAAAAAGTAGTTCCCATCTTCCCCATCTAGGGATAAGTAGAATGTAAGTGTTCTTAACCTCATGATCACATTTTACTCAAGGGAAATCCTCAAAGGCTCTCTTATGCTGGAAGATTGCGGCTGATGCAATCAGTTTTTTTTTTGAAGTTTTCAATACTACTGGTGCAGCATTTTTCTTCTCCCTTAAATTTTTGTCAAAAGACTTGGTACAGATTTTCTCCTCTTTATTATGGAAAGGTAAAGATGGTGATGCTAGGAGTGCCAAACTTAGCTGGGAAACTATTCCAAGAATGAAGGCGTTCTTGGTTTTAAGGATCTCAAAGTTTGGAATCTTGCTTGTGACCTTAAGCACGTCTGGGCTTTATTTACTCAAGATGGTTCTCTTTGGGTTGCCTGGACAAAAGCTTATCTCCTACAAGGCAGGAGTTTTTGGAAGATTAGCTGTACTCAAAGCTGTTGCTGGGCTTGGAGGAAGCTTTTAAATCTTAGGCGAACTGCAAGGACCCTCATAAGCACAAAATTGGGAATGAGCTCAGCGTCTCTTTCTGGTACGATGATTGGCTCCCATCTGGCGCTTTCCTTCTTATTTATGGCAGAGGTACTTTATAACAGATTGATATATCTGAAGATGCAAAGGTTGCTTCTCTTATTAGCAATGATGGCTGGATGTGGCCCTCTCATGAGTCTCGGGAGTTTAGGCAAATTCAGCAGATGTGCTCTTCTTTACTTTGAGCTCAGCTGATGATATTGTGGTGTCACAGGTCTCAAAGAGTGGTATGTTCAAGGCTTCTGATACTTGGCAGTTGCTTGGAGCTATGAAACCTAAAGTAGTTTGGCACAAACTTCTGTGGAATCAATTCTCTCTTCCTAAGCATAGATTTATTGCTTGGCTTATTATTTTAGATAGACTGAGTACACCATTCTCGTATCAGAAGTTGGGGTATTAGTCTTCCTAAAACAACATGTAATTTCTATGATGATGAAGAGACTAGAGATCACAATTTTTTTCACCCACAATTCCTCTAAGGATATTTGCTGCCAAAATCTTGAAAAGCTTATTATCTAAAGGAGGGTTGGTTGTTGGCAAGAAGAGTTTGAGTTGCTCACTCTACAGGCAAGTCTTTTGCTGCTATCTTGTTAAGAGTGGCCCAGTCAGCATACTTGTTACCATATCTGGAGGGATTTGAGACTTGAAGAAGTTTGGCTTTTCTGCTCCTACTGCTGATGCTATTTTGCATTCTATTATTTTTAATGAGAAGATTTGTTTAAGTGGTGTTATTCAAGTGCCTGACTCCCACATTAACCAGCTTTATGTTATAATTGGAACATTGTTGTAAGGGGTAGTCACTAAACTTTCTTTTTCTGGTTGTTAAGTTGTTTTGATAGCAGGTTTTCCCCAGCTTTCTTGGTTAAATATAATGCTAGTTATCCAAAAAAGAAATCCTTTGGAGCTGTAATTTTGGCCTCGGAGTAAAATCTTTGGGTTTGCCAGCGTATAACAATGCAGAGACAGAGAAACAAAATATACTTACGTGACGCAGTTGGAGTATCTGCTGTTTTCGATTCCTTTTTGCCACTTGAATTTGCAATGTTGGATGCTTTGTTAGATTTCTGGATTGACGCTCTTATATCTTCAAATAAATCAGCCTCAAGACTTTCCAATGTCAAAGTTTCACTATCCAATGTTGTTAACGAATCACAAGATTTGTTTACATCCTCTCGAATCCCAGGTAATGTGTGTATTTCACCTTTCTCATTGCCTCCAATCATGCTAGACAACTCCTCTGGATCAAGAACACCTAAAAAACAGGACATAAATCATATCAAAACAGGAAATTTAGAATCATGACTTGTTAAGTGTAAATGAAATCTAATTTGTACCTGCACTTGTGAAGAAAGCACTATCCCATGCTAAACTTTTGCGTAAATTATATTTTCCATTCTTACTCGTCTTGTCTTGCTCCAAAGAATCCGGTGGTTCCTCTAACTTTCCATTTTCTTCAAGGGAGCCTAATGAGATTTCTACACTGTCGGGATCCATAGCGAATCTAACACTTTTGGTTCCACTCCCCTTCCCTTTACAATACATAAAATCCAATTCAGAAAAAGAAAAAAGAGAGAAAGAATGAGCTTAAATTTCAAATATAAAACACGTAAAACAAAATGAGGATCATCATCTTTTATCGGTGAAAAAGCAACCCCAAATTATCAAATGGTAATGAGAAATTGCATTGAACAAACCAAAAAGAATCAATTTATCAATTAATTTAAAGGTTTATTGGAAACAATTTGTATAACAAATACCTGGAGAACAAACAAATCATGAAAAATTAGGTTCACATCTACGATTTTTTTGGAGCTAATTACCGTTAACAAAACGGCCAAAACACATTTCACCATCAATTTAAAACACGATTAAAAGTATTAGACAAATCAAGTACTTTTCCGATGAAATATAAATCCTGCAATAACCAATAAATCTCAAACAAGTTCAAACTAAAAGATATCAAACAAATAAATCAAATTTTCGAAAAATCCAGAATTGTTAGCATTTCTCTGATATCCGATGCAAAATCAAGAGAAAATATTATAAAATTAAAGGAGAAACCTGAGGATTGAGGGTTTATGGGTTCGCAGAGAGGCGAATTGATGAGGCAATCGTCTTCGGACGAAACGTCGATGAGGCTCAGCCCTTTGATATCGAAGTCGCCTTGCTTCTCAGAATCACCCATTTTCCCGACGGAGATTAATATCAGATCGAATAGGAAATAAGGCGATTAAAGGTGCAATTATTTTATTTAATAGATCAAGAATTGGAGAGATGCGTGAAAGAGAGAAGAGAAGAAGGAGAAGTGAATTTTTTGAATTTGGGGGAAGAGGCGGTTCAAAATTAAATTTATTAAATAATGCGAAGAAAAAGAAAAGTTAGGGAGCGTTTGATGTATATAGCACTTTCACCGAGGTGTAGGTACGAATATTTGAGACGCTGTGGGACCCGTTACATGTGTGCGGTGATCAGCTGGTTGGACGTTGGATTTTCCATTTTGATTTTATCTTTTTTGGGAGAAATTATTTACAATCCGTTACACGGATTTATCAGTTAGGGCCTCATCCAACGGTTTCCAAGATTTCGATATTGCTGTAAAAGAATTGAATGGAGGGTCCAGATCGATGCTTTGCGCGTAAAGATCAATTTTCATTTTATCCAGAAGTGGGTTGGAAACGCCATATTTTGAGGTCAAAAGTTATACTACAGGTAACAGTGTATCTTTTACCCAAATAATTAACCTTTTCACAAATTAACCTAAGGAAAAACTTGCGCATATTTTAACTGTCATAAAAAGAGTACAATTTACCGCTTTTTTTTTTTTTTTTACTTCTTCAATGCGCCTCATTTAAGTGAATATTTCACCCACCCAATTATCTTGGGCCGGAGGGAATGAGAAGGAAGCATTGAATTTGACGAATGATTTACGGCCTATGTTATATTTCCTGTTCGATGAGCAGTAACGTGATGATGGGAAGGCGCTGCCAGGTGCCACCCTTAAAATCTCATGATTACAGGCCAATGAGATGTCGGGGAAGATGCCCGCAACTCATGATGAGCATCACGAATGAGAATGTTCAAAGAGCCAAGATCATGTTCCATCTGAAGCTGTTGGAAGTTCTCAAGTATGTCTGAACCACCTCAACAAGCCCAAAGCTCCAGCAAGAAACCCTAGTCGGAAGTGAAAAATGGCAATTACAAACCATACTCAAAGGCTTTGATGCTTTTAGTATCAAAATTTCTATACAACCCCACTTAATTATCATGTTATACTTAGAAACCCTGAGAGAGAGCACTGCAAAAGGTGGTAGTGCATAAAATTAAATTAACTGACTGTACAAAAGGTTTTCACTACAGCAAATCAAAATGTGCAAGATGGTCAGTCATATAAATTAACCTGCTTGCGAAGAATTTGCAACAGAAATAGCTGCGTCAACTGTCTGATCCTACCATTTTAAACTAATACAACCAACAGCTTTTATATAACCTCATAAAGGAAAGCATTTAGAAGTTCAAACCTTGAGTGTGAATGCTTAACCTCTCTTTACATCAACTTGACTAGAATCCATCGCATCAAGAAGTACTTCCATCTCCACATGTTTCATCTGTTCTGCTTCGCTTAGTTGCAACTGGAGATGATTTAGGCGGTGCAGAAGCCAGACGCTTGAGGCGGTAACTAACAAGTGAGGGTCCGAAAATGCTGTATTTTCCAGAACTGCTGAAAGCTGTTTCTGCATCTGCGTGTCTTTTAAAAACCACTCTGGCACGGATGCTCTTTTTCAACACTTCAGCCCCTGGCACAACCAAAGGCCCATAACGGCCAAATATCGTATTCAGGTCTTCTACTGACGGAACTGATTCCAAGTCTGAAAAATTCAAAATCAAAGCAGTTGGAGATAGATCTTCTGTATAACTTTCATCTGAGTATTCTATCCGTTTCTCTGCTTCCATTCCAAGATTTTCACCTGTGACTGTACATTTCTGTTCAGAATTCAAATTGCGACTTGCCTGAGCAGCTGGTTGCGATTCAATGACAGAAAAACCCTTTTCACTGGGAGTGTCAGGAGAAACCTCTGTGGTTTGGTTGTGGTTGTCAACTGCTAATTGCTCTTCAGGAAGGCATTGGATTATCCTATCAGAACAACAGGTGTCTTTGATTGAAGTCAACTCAGACTTTCCAGTAACTTCAAACCTGGTTGAATTCTCCCCCAGTTCACCATCAGTTCCTTGTTCTGAAGATTGTTCAGACATTTCAGAGCTGTTAAGATCCATAGCAATTGAATTCCTCAACTCCATAAAGAAAAAAACCATAGAGGACGAAAAACTATACCCTTTCAGGGGATTTGTGGCAGCCAAGCAAAGCTGTGAGAGCATCTCATCAGGGGAAAACATATTTGTTTGAAAAGCCGTCTTCCCTGGAGATTTACCAGACGAATTTCTTCCTTTACTTTTATTATTAACTGCAGACTTTTTTTGAGATGTCCCATCACCATGCTTAAGTACTGGAGTTGAAACTGTTGAACTGGAACCATTCAGTTGGTTTGCAACCCGAAGTATGCTAGCTCCAACTCTGAAAGTTTGTTTAGACTGCAGAGACTTATCAACAGACCCTGTTGATGCATTACTTCTATTCTGTTTCAATGCCAAGTTATCCTGCACAGAGTCCACCACCTTTGGTTTTTTAGCAGGGGATGAAGCACTTAACTTGTCACCAGCTTTCTTATTCAATTTCCTTTTTCCATTTTGCATATTCAAGCGCCTTTCAGCTATCAACTCTGACAAGCTTTTCTCCTTTTTGTTGGAAACTTTAGCGTCCCCTGGGATTTTCTTTTGTTTCTGAGAAGAGCCATCTTGACTCTCTGACTTCTCTCTTTCAGAAAGCACCTGCTTGTCAACTTCAACACTAGGAAAATCATCTCCAATCAGTTCACAATGTTTCTTTTCTTCTTCGGAGAGAGGTATCTCCGCATCAGTCTCCAACAATCCGCATAGATTTTGAAATTCAGGTAGCTGAGAGTAACCCTTCCAGCGATGGAATGCCAACAATTGTGCCTGTGATGTTATGAATTGCAGTCTGTCAACCTCGCTATAAGAAGGTGATTGGGCCAGTGCTTTTATCCTCTCAACAAGTTCAAAAGGGTCAAAAGAAGCAACACCTGAAAATCTGTCCCCACCATCTTTTCTACTAGATTCTTCCCGGATCCCAGTATTAACAATTATCTGAGTTTGAACCTCCGCATATGCTTCCTTGGAAATGCAAGAACAGGCCAGACCAAACTCCACGCGTCTAGAAACCTCATCTAAAGAACAATCAATAGCATAGTGAAACTCTTCCATATTGTTCTGCTTTTCCATATGTGAGAAATGGGGCCTAAAGGGCTTGATCCGTGATGTTTCATTCCAAGCAAATGTCTGGTCACCAAAATAGGCAATCAAATAACAGTCCTTTTTAAAATACTTCTTCGCCTTTGCTGTGGCAGCTGAACGATCAAATATTTGTCCCGGCCACCAAGGATGACTCCTTACTTTACCCCAGACTAAATCAGAGACACAAAATTCAGGTTCTTCTGGTTTTTCCGGTTTTACATCAACATCGTCAGATACATCATCGTCTGTGCTTGTGTATGGATTCAAGTCTACCGCATCATTTAACAGATTAGACCCGTTTTCTGCATTCTGAAAAACCCTGTCCCCTTCGTCTTGGATGGCAGTAATTAAATTTCTTTTGTTGGTATCATCAGGTGTATCAATCTCCATATCCTGACCTTCTAATCTGCCAGAAGATCCTTCCTTTGAACTCACATTCTGCTCCCCGTAAGGTAAAGAGTTTTCAGGACCTAATGCTGAAGAAAGAGGCTTCGTATCACCAGAACCTAAATCATGAGCAATACCAGATTGAATGGTATTATCAGCAAACGAGCTCAACTGAATACTAACAGAATTCCCCTCTATCAACGTGTCCTCATTAGGACACACACTAACATTAAGATCCTCGGCTACCCCACCAGAAGATCTCACAGCAATTTGATCAGCCACCGCTGGTTTCTTCTCTTCCATAGAAACACTCTCTCCATCTCCATGTCCTCTTGATCCTCCATCGACCTCCATCAAAGAATCCCCACCCGAGCTAAACCGGGCGCTACCTTGATCATCAACCTCTTCACCTAAGGATCCAACATCAGCTTCCAAATCAATCCCTTTATGTTTCAAACTTTCCACTTTGCTGTCTTCCCCTTGCTCATCAATCCCACCAGCCGACTCATTACCCTTTCCAAAGACCCTAACCCCATCAACTGTTCGTTCTGTTAGGGTTTTGGTTGAAGAAGTACCCGCCCCAGAGGCCGGCTCCTCAACATTCACATCATTATCCTCGTTTTCTCGGTCAACCGGAAGAGCATCACAGTTCAAGTCGATTTCCTCGGGAATTTTTTTTGACATTGAAGAACCCTAAAAATAAAATAAACTGAAAACATTAAAAGCTCTAATTTACTAAAAACAACAAAACCTAACAAACCATTAACAGCTCAAAAAAATACTGATACAAACCCAATTAGCAAAGAGATTAACTAGCAAACAAAATTAATAAAGAGAATAGCTGTGTACCGTCGTTTACTTGGATTTGATGCTGGAATATAAATGGAGTTGCCCTAGTTCAAGAGTAAAAAATTGGAAAATCCTGGTAGGGTTTTGGTGAGTGAGAAAGAGAGAAAGAGAGGGAATGGAAGGTCGTGTCTGGTGTTTCCCGGAAATGGTTTTTTGTTTCGTGTCCCTTTAAAAGGTGTGACGATCTTGTGGGCACGTGGCGGAGATCGGAAGGGTTTAGTTCAAAAGAGACGGTGCTGGACTGGCGTTGATGTGTGATTTTCCACGTGTCAGATTTTTACGAAGTTGGAAAGTTAACTATCATGTTACTAACTTGGATTAACATCAACTAATTTGGCGATATAATATTCCTATTAAAAGAACTAATTTGGCGATATAATATTCCTATTATAAGTTCAAAACCTTCTTCTCCAAATTCAAAAAACTAATTTAAAAATATAAACTTTATCATTTATCATTTATAAAACAAAAATTAAATGATGGCTTCAACTTAAATTATTCAAAATTTGATTCAAATAAACTCTTGCAATGGTTATTTAATTTTTATTAATTAAAATATTATTTATTATTTTTATATTACATAATATTAATAATAATTAATTATAAGATTTTATTTGATTCAAAACAAAATACAATCACTTAACTAAATATAATAACAAATAAAAATTTATTTATTTTTTTAAATAATTGAACACCTTTTTAAATATTATGTCTTTTGTGCTTCAAATTTTAAAACATGAATAAAAAATAACTTGATAACAAAACTGACACAAAGATTTAATTTAAAATCCAAATAACCCTTTTTCATAGATATATTATTTTATTATGGCAACTTACCTTATTTCTCAAACTAATCATGCAAAGCAACTTATTCTGCAAAACTGATATTACCAACTTGTTTTTTTTTTCATAATATTAAAAGAAGTTTATAAATTATTTTATAATTTTAAATTTTTTATTATTTTATTACTTTTAATAAACTTTTTATATTTTTATTTTTGAGTTAAAAAAATTATATTTTTATTTTATACCAAATAAACTCTCACGAATAATTATTGATTTATTTAAAATGTTACTTATTATTTTATATTACGTGATGTTAAAATGACATGCAAATGTGACATGATAATATAATTATATAATATTTTTTACCTTTTACATCAACATCACATCAAACTATGTGAGTATAAAATAATATGCGTGTTAAAATAACGCATTTTAACATCAAACAAGTGATATTTTAACATAAGTTAAAAAATAATATGCGTTATTTTAACTTATGCGTTATAAAAGTTAACTTTTAGATATAAGTGTTATTTAACTTATTATTTTATGTTACGTGACATTGACATGATATGATAATATGATTATACGATATTTTTTACTTTTAACATCAACACCACATTAGTGTCATGTGAATATAAAATAACAAGTGATATTTTGATTAATGACAATCAGTTAACTTTTATACATAAAGTGTTATTTAACTTAAAATAAAAGTAAATGGACTTGATTAAACAAAAAAAAACTTTTTATTTATTAGGGAAAAGGAGATTTGAATTTTGCTCATTAGACAATGGATCACAAATCAATTAATGGGCCAATTTCTCAAGTACAATATAATAATAAAAACTTATTTAAAATTTTTTAAATAGTTTAATAATTTTTTTTAGTATCGTATTTTTTTTAACCAATGAAAAACACATCAAAATGTGAAAATTAGTTTATTCACACATACATATACATAGATACATCTATATATATATATATATGTATACATATGACTTAATAAGAAAACTTAATTTATCTTAATATTTAAGAGTTTATATTCAATGCATTGTGAATATATAATACCTAGACATTATCACTTAATCATGTAATGATATCTCATAAATATGTAAAAATAAAAATTTTAACTATTTATTTTTAAGATGTATAATTTTTAAATTTATTTATTAATCAAGCAGTAATATTTTATTAACACTCGATCATTTGGCTCATTGGTTAGTATATTATCCCTCTAGTAGGGTTTGAATCCTCCTTCCTTCAATTATATAAAAATAATAATTAATTAATTAATTACGTATAAAAATTTTATACTAACGATATATCAAATATAAATACAATCATTAAACATCTTTGTAAACCATCACCTTTAAGTTTATAATTGATGTTAACATTTACGTTAACCTTATCATTAAACGACATTAGATTTGTTCCCTTCTCTCTTTATATATATATGTATTTTTATTTCAAGTAGTTGAATACTCAACAATTAACTGAACAAATTAAGCATAGATCTCAATAAAAACTTACCCTTGATTATTGGCTGAATCAATCATATTACTCTTGTATCATCGGATGAAATTCTTGTTTGCTAAATATCGTTGTTATCATGAGTTAGTTTAAGAATAAAAAAAAATAATTTAAACTTTAAACTTTAAATTTTAATATTTTTTAAAAAATTATTCGATAAATTTGAATTATTATTTAAAAATAAATATTATAATTACATATAAATAGATAAATAAATAATTATCAATTCTCGATCAATTCAATCAATAAGAGTATATCGTTGAGAGTTTTGAATATTTTATTTTCTACTTTATATCAGTCACCAGTTACAAAGGGCACAAAGTAAAATATATTCCACAACAGAAAATAAAAATAATGTACTAATTCTAAATACTAAAAAAGAAAAAAAAATCTCTAAAATTTCAAAGTGTAATTCATAATACGGCCCATGCTAAATAAGTCGGTCCAGGCGATCGCGCGGCAGTCAAAATGTCTAATTACAAAACCAGCAAATATAATTTTTCCCTCCCACAACTCTCCCGCCAAAAAGGTTACGGATCAATAGATCAAATCTCGTCGGAAATTTGACGAACACTCGGAGGCCAAGTTTGAAACCACCTACACCACCGTCGAGATGTACGGGGCTCACGGAGAGAGCGCGAACGACAATTACGGTTCGATCAACACAAGCAACATTGGCTCGATCGTGCCCGTTTATATCACCGAAAACGAGTACTCTAAGGACCAAGAGAAGCTGATTTTTGAGCTCATTCGGTTCTTCTCCGCTCCTCCAGGGCAAGATCTTGCTCACCAGGTCTTTCTTCCTCTCTTTGTTTTCCTCTCGAATTTCCAGACATTTTATATATGTTCTTTTTTTTTTTTGAATTTTTGGTTTGACTTCATTTTGGTAATCAAATGATTGAGAGTGATCCGTAATATGTTTTCAATGTGCTCAATCAGGTGAACAAGGCATATTAATGGACGAATTAACGTAGAGATTTAATTTAATTATGACAACTATAGTTTGGTTTTATTTCCTTACAATCTCATGTAGCAGCCAAGTTCTGTTAAATATTTTAAAATTTAAATAAATTAATTAGCAGCTCTGATTCCAATCATGAACAGGTAAAGGATGATTCTAGTTCCTTCTGTTTGCCTCTTGACTTCCAACAATTTCGAAAGTTATGTGATATAGAAGAATTCTATGCGAAATTGGAAGATAAACCTAAAATAGCTCTCTCCTGCATGAGTGCCGCAGTTCACCAGGTATGAAAAAATGATGAAAGAAATGATTTTAAGTTTATTTATTATTTCATTTTTTTTTTATTAAAAATTTAATTTAACCACGGAGGTATGTAACATATGTTGCAAGCTGCAGGTTCTCTTAAGCAGTTCGGTTTTCAGCTTGGAGGAAGGAATGAAGATAAATATTTGTCTCCACAACTACCCTGAGTCCATGATTGTTTTGAAGAACTTAAAGGCTGCATATATTGGTGCACTTCAATTTCAACGTTTAGTTATTGTTGTTTCTTTCTGTAGTTTGCATTTCAAAATGATTTATGATAGCTAATTGATGACATATACAGACAAGCTTGTATCTGTGCGCGGCACAGTGGTAAAAGCTAGCACTGTCAAGCCTCTAGTGATAAAAATGAATTTTGCCTGTGAAAAGTGCACAACCGAGATCCCTCGTATGTTTCCTGATGGAAAATTTTCACCCCCATTGACTTGCACTTTCCATGGCTGCAAGAGCAGAACATTCAAACCAATTCGATCTTCAGCTCAAGCAATAGATTTTCAGAAAATAAGGTAAAACAAGCTTATGCCAGTTTTACAGTCTTTCTTAGTAAACCCAGACACAGACGCCACTCACACATCTTTGTAACATTCTATTACATTTTTATAATTGGTTTCTCCCTTCTTCTGTTTTCACAAACTCCAGGCTACAGGAGCTGCTCAAGTCTGAAGAACATGAAGAAGGTCGCGTTCCTCGAACGGTAGAATGTGAATTGACCGAAGATCTTGTTGATTTGTGCATTCCTGGAGATGTAGTAACAGTCACTGGAATCATAAGAGTTATCAATAATTACATGGATATTGGAGGAGGTACCATAAAGCAATTCCTTTAGAACTAAGTTATCATAGAATTTGCATGTCGTAGTGTTCTTACTTTCCCTTCCTTTCCATGCCATTTGGAAAAAAGTTTACCAACAATATCTCGTTTTTAGTAAAGGCAGAGACAAGGCTAACATACTACCTGTTAGTTATTGCCATTACATGCGGACAAATATGCATCTTCATGGATGTAGAAATTATGAATTCAGAACTTAAGGGTCATCAACATATTGTCTGAAAATAAACTTCAGCTGGAACCAAACACTTGCATTCATCTACCTGTTTTCTATAAGTAGTTTGGAGAAATCTTTGATTGTTTTCAGGAAAATCAAAAAGCAGAAATCAAGGATTCTACTATTTGTACATAGAAGCAGTTTCTATAAAAAATTCGAAGTCACAGTCTGTGCCTGAGGACTTGCAAGACTTCAATAGTAATGCTAAAGCGACAGAGCTGGTTGATTTGTTCTCATTCTCTCCAAGGGATTTGGAATTCATTGTGAAGTTTTCAGAAGAACATGGTTCAAATGTCTTTCGGCAAATACTTCAATCCATATGTCCATCAATTTATGGGCATGAGCTTGTTAAAGGTAAACCCTGAATTTGCACTAAAGTGAAACTTCTTCAATACTGTCATGCTGTCATCTAAAATGTTATCGATTTTGGCTATGTAATGTTGTAATTTAATGGCACCTGAATTCATCCAGATTGCATTGGAAGTGAGACATGTTTTTTGAATTCCCTAAAAGGTCCAGTCATAGGAACTTGCAGTTGAAAAAAGTAGTTCATCCAAGAATCCTAAGCTTCCAACAATTCTTA